GTATATAATGAGATCTAACATTTTCGCGAGTATTCATTTAAATGTTTTCAAAATTATTTTCGGATTACTACGCGTTATTTTATTATTTTTAAACTACATACTCCCAACGTTTCGGTTATTTTGCAGCAACTCTAATATTAGATTCTAAAATGCAAATTTTTTTTAAATGTTAATTTAAAGCTCTATAAAGTTCCGATACTACCTATATAAAAATCGTTTTTCTAATATCCTAGCAACTAGGGGCACAAAATTTTCCAGAAGATATTCAATTGGTAATTTCTTAGTCAGTCTTAAAAAGATCAAAACGACATATAATTTAATTTTGACGTATGTATAGGATATAAACATAGTTAAGAGCAGCCATATCAATGGTAAGAACTGTCGTCAACACGCAATCAGAGTTATAATTGTGTAATCACTAAGTTCTAGGAGTTCTGAACACTTCGCATTCAATTAATGTTTCCTAACCACTCATTGTTTTGTATAACGACCCCTTTCTGAGGTTCAGAGAAGAAAAACAACATTTAAAAGAATCCTTTCAGAAACACTTTTATGTTTTCCTATGTTAAATTGACCTTTACAACAATGTTTACGGTACTCAAAGAAACTACAAAGAAATGTATGTAATGTTTTGCTTTGAACATTTATTACAATGATTTATTTTCTGAAAACTCTTATATAAAACTAAAAGAATACAAAAATTTATCTAACTATATTCTTAATTCACAGTCATTGAAATAATACACATATGTGTATTATTTCAATAAATTTGTAGAGCTTTAGTGAGAGTTCAAGGTTATTTTTACTAACCGTGTCGCTTATAGCCGGGTAATACGTATATTGCTGAACATAACCTAAATGAAAATTGACTTGTGCGTTGAATGTAGTAAACATAATGTATGATGCCTCACTTTCGATTAAGAACTTTTAATTTAACTGCTCTCTGAGAAACGGTTCTTTTGATGTCAAGGATGAACCGCACATGTGGATGTATTAACAGGTTCGCCTTTTAAGAACACACCGTCAATAAAACTTCATTGACTTTCATATATACATTGCCTAATGATTCTTTAAAAATATAGCCCCCAAAGACTGAAATTGTCTTCTTAATAATTGTTAATTATTTTTTTCAAGAAAAAAAAGAAATAGGTAAGTAAAGACTACTATTCGAAATAGTTTACAAACCCTGGTTATATAAAATAAAATCGAAATTATTAAAACAATATTAAATTTTGACTCATAGTATGTAAATATTTAAAAAAAAACCTCGAACCTTTAAAAGTAGTCATCTTCTATATATATAAAAATGGATTGCTGTTCCTTAGTCTCGCTAAAACTCGAGAACGGCTGAACCGATATGGCTAATTTTAGTCTTGAAATACTCCTGGAAGTCCAGGGAAGGTGTAAAAGGTGAGAAAAATTGGAAAAATTGCCGGGAAAACCCTAAAAACAGCCAATTTTCTATTTCCCATACAAACGATTTTTTGACATTAGACTTGACAACTAACTAATATGTCAATCATTCTGTTCGATTGAAACAGTAGAAATTTAATAAATACCAATACCGGGTTATTGAAGACGGAATAGAGTTTGCCCGGTCCGCTATACCTATATATGTGTCTTTATAAAAATATGATTAAAAAATAACTGCTACAAATTTTAGAGTCAGTTTAATTCAATTCTTTTCATGTCCATACAAAAAATAACATTCAATATCCTATGAATTTCAAAGGAAATATTGTTGGACTAAAGTAGGGGAATTTTTTGTTAGCTTAGGACCATCACTGAGAAACAGAATAAATGAGAAGTGTTTGTGTAAACAAGAGAAAGAATAAAGTAAACCAAGCTTTGCAATCTGTGATTCCGAGTTATAAATTGTTACGACTATATGTATAAGTAAGTAGTTCTTTTCAATAGAATTTGCAATCTTGTATAAAATATAAATTATTATTTAGTTTTACATATATGACATAAGACGACACTTTTGGAAGGTAAAACTCGGACGAATTTATGATGGCACTCTTAATAATTTGTTATTATTGTATATCGTATTAGAAAAATAAATTACTGCAATATTTTTGTCATGATTCTTTACAGTCGTTAATCAATATTTCTTTAAACGTCGTCTTTAAGTATCTAATAGCGAGGGGACTGGTCGAAGGTAAAACGTATAATACAATATGTTTCAACTACCTTGTAATCTTTTAAAACAGATTGTCTATCATTTATCGGAGTTTCCTTCACGTATAAATATCGATCTCACAATGTCAATAATTATAAGAATAATTAATTCGTGGGAACCTATTTAATAAGTGGACTTTATATCGATTAATTGATCGTGTTTCTTTAGGAAAGGTGTTGATATAAAATGGAAAGATTAGAATATTATCCTATCACCTGGTCTGATCCATTATCTTGTCTCGTAGGTTTTTATCATTTAAGAGTACTCTGAATTTATTACTCACAATTACTGATTCTGCGATTTTGTAGTCATACGAAGTTAGATTTTTAAATAGAAAGCACAAAAATTTCGTATTAGCAAAAGTAAAAATATTTTGATGGCATTTCATTTTTAGGTCTAACATAAATTGAGCTGCACTTATTTGTTTATAGCCAAATAGTATAAACATTGTAAAGCCTATAAATACTATAATTTACAAATACATCAAAAGCTCCACACGCAATGAAATAAAAATTGATTAGAAATTATATAAACTGAAAAATGTACTCTCGGTGCGTGAGCTCCGTTCATTTAAACACCTTTTTAACGGCATATAATATTAAATATATTGAAGTATAAAAAACAAAGGCTTAAACCTACATAACCTAACTAGATTTGTTAATACACGGATACTTGTCATATTTAAATTCATGTTTTTCAATTCCCCAGTTATATGAAACAGATACGGGTCATCCTCTCCTCCGCTGGACCGAATAATTGTAAAATTCAATTTATTTGTGGTCGTGTTCTCTGTGACTCGAATACTCCGCTTAATAAACTTACTTACATGGTTCAATACCTGTACTGTTTATTATTTATATGTAGTGAACGATGGCACTTTTAAACAATAATTGAATGTTTTCCACAGATAGAATGATTAAAGTATTGATTTATTTAGTTCCTTAAGATAGTAAGGGGATAAAGTTTGACTATGAGTATGTCTTTAATTGAATCAATTTTAATGTAATATGACACTTCTTGCACTTAAAATTCTCAACAAAATAATAAAACAGATAGGAAAAGATACTATCAGATCTAACGAGTATTCCAATCATTATACATACATATAGTGATACTGGAATCTTTTTGTGAAATTTTTCAACCATCAAAGAAACATTACTTTAAAAATAATGTAATTTACAACATAATCAACTGATTTATATAAAAATCCGGCAGTAATTTCAACACTTCCTACATTTTAAAACGACTGGGTAGCTTTGTCCTTTATGACGTCACTATGCAACTAACCCAAATCGTAGTTACGATGACGTTATCGGCCCAGTTCTAGATGACGTAATGATGGAAGGTCGAGGCGAGCAAAAGTTTACTGGGTTAGGAGTGTCCCCTCACTAGCGACAGACAATTCGGCTAGCGGTCAAAGCCACTCTCTTTGTCTTTGACATTCACGTTATAATTGGAATAGAGGTACGTGTGATGTATATATGTATGTAGGATAGTATACGAATAAACACCTCTAAATTTATGACTTTGAAATATACTTTTACTGCGTAACTATCTATTATCTACTACCAATTCTATGATTATACTATCCAAATCGGTATCAAGTAATAGAGTATTTTGTATGAGTAAGTGATATTTTTTTTACAAAAATACTTTCCTTCCATTTTCTATAATTAAATAACCCTAATGGACATCATTTGACATTTAAGTCTCATAAAATAGTCATTAAACGATTTGTTTTTCTATCTGTAAAGTTAACCTTTAAAAGTAGTTGCTCTAAAAGCCATCAGGGTCGAACAATATCCTTTTGTTATTTTTGTGGCAGATTTAACATGGCCTTCAAAACACCGGAACACAGCGAATGAAAAAAGATTGCAAGCTATACATATATGTTTATACATTTTTTATACATAATTAAAACACTGTTGTTATTATTTTGTTAAAAAACTTACATATTTGAGTTTAGTTTAACCCTTACTCGATGATATAAAGCTAACTTTAAATTAGATTTATTCAAATTGTTATATTTTCGTTTCTATAGATTTCTCAGTAGATTTTTAATTTTATAAAAATAGAAGCGTTATCGTAAACATCATTTAAAACATTTCAGATTATATTGGTTTTATTTTTTAGATATCAAATGGTTATTTAATATCGACTACCTAATACTAGCTACCCAATTGAATCCGATCGAGTAGTTATCTTAGAAGGATCGTGATGATTTTGTTTTCTATTTTGTGAAAAGTTGTTTGTTTCTTTTTCAAGTTTTTGTATTGATTAATGATTAGCAATCCATGAATTAAAATAAAATTTATAATCATACATACATTTTGTTTTGTATAATTAATTATTCTCCTGTATATTAAGTATAAAAAAATTATAAAGTTATAAATATTGGGTATACCTTGTAAAACAAATTAATAGTAAAAATGATTGAGCAAAAAATTAATAACAGGCAAAGAAGGATTTTTTTTTGGATGAATAAAAAAAGAACTACAAATGTCTCTTGCAACTTATTACTTAGAAGTGATGTTGAATTTTTAATTTATTCTTAGTAGAAATATCAACGATATATATTCTCACTTTTAAAAATACTACAATTTATTTAACATTCAAACCTGTAGTGGCATTTGTTTGAAAGATCAATGCCATATACCTAGTTTTTTTTTTTGTACTGAATGGTATAATAAAAGCTGTCAAAGTGTATTGCAAATATTTTATTGTATGCTTAAGATTATTAAAAATTGAGTATTAAGTAGAGAGAACACAGTTTGTTATGTGTGTAAGGGAATTTACGAGTACATTATCTTTGTATCTGTTAGCACGCTCTTGAACAACGACGCCTGCGGACCAATCTTGATGGACATGAGGCACCTCCAGCCGCCGGAGTCTAAAACACAAATTATTAAACGTGTGCTCATAAAGTTACTTCAATAAATAGCGGGATATATAACACTATTATATAGAGGTATATATATTTTATTATAAAGTAAAAACTTTACGTTGAGATAATATTAAAAAATGGACAAAATTTTTCTTTACAAATGAAACCAAATTATTTCATTGAATTTTAATTTTTAAATGGCATTCTACAATGATATTTATAACATCTGTTGCGAAAATGACATCACCTAGCCACAACCTAATTATATCACAATAAATCCCATAACAGCGTTAAATCTAAGCTAATTGACGTGGGTGAGGTTCTCAAGGACTAGGTATAGCACTTGAAGGTACGACTATAAATGCATCAGATCAAATTAAGTTGTAAGTTATAATGAATGCATTAAAATATAACAGAAGTTTATTTCTATAAAAAAATATTTCTGTAGAATTTTAAGTGTATATTTGAAGAAAATATGTATCAGATAAGAACTGTTTTAAACACAAATTCCTATATGTAACCAATTTTAAATCGATGACAAGGATTAATCACAAACGAAGATGTTGTGATAAAACTTGCCTTTACTAAAGAAATAATTTTGTGTTTTTCTATTATTATGTAAAATTAATTTAAATATTGTGACAACCTTGAATTCACTTCAATTTAGTATAGCAATTATTTCCACAGTTCGTATAAATAAATTAATTAATATTTAGCGCACATAAACTCGTGTTGTTTTTCCGCGGTGTTATAAAAAATATTAAAGTACATGTTATGACTTGATTTACAAATGAACGTCTATTTATTTATGTCTAAAATGATACTGCACTTGTAAAAAAATACTACACTTGTAAATACTAAAAGCGGAATAATTTTGTGTATGTATATGATTATTATTAATTTAAAAATTATTTAATTGTCAAACAATAAAAAATAAGAAAATAAAAGAATTGGAAGAGAATAACATTAGAGACACATAATAGATATTAAAGATATATATGAATGAAAAAATGTGTCTCTATGTGTGTTTGTGTTCTTTTCATATGTTTTAATGTGTGTGCATCTATGTTTACTCACCACTATGGTACGAGTTCGTTCCTGGTACCCCACGCCGCAGGTCACACTACACCGGCTCCAGTCGCCCCAGGGACTCACCACGCAATCACCAGAATTAGCTGACAAAACGATACATTATGACTTCTCTTTCTACAATTACTCTTTAGAAATATCAATATATCCAGAATACAAAATTTATTATTCGAATAAAAACTCTTACTGTCCATTACTGCTACCTATAATGATATTAATTTGTCTTGAAGATTTATGAAATAATAAAATAATGAAGTATGAAATCTAACGACATTCATAGGATTATAATCTGGAACGTCCAGGTTTATGTTCGGAATAACTGTCAATGTCAATCAAACAAACGTACCATTATTCGAGAAGGTTAGGTAGGTACTAAATTTCCTTAACATATTCTTAAGAGTATACTCATTTATAAAATAGCAAGTCAAAGTAAAGTAAGGTGAATTTATAGTAATGGCATATCGCTTTACTTACCGCTGACTGCGGGTGGCACAGGCACTATGGAACTAACGCTAAGGCCAGGGTAGTTAGAACTGACTACGGGTAATAATCCCGCGCCCACGCCTGTGGGCGAAGGTACTGATCCGCTAGGAGCCCCACCTTTACAGTAAAAAACACAAACATTTCACATTAAAAATAGATTATGGATATCTATAATATCTATGGATGGATATACATACTTAATCAAGGACCTTATGAAACTTTAATGTCTTTTAAACAAGTGAAAATATGTGTACTATTTGTGTATCGTGGGTGTTATTTGTACTCCAAATGCTATCACTAAATCTGAATTAGTGATACAACCAAATGATCTAAAATAACATTTTATATGTAATTGCTAATTGAAAGATAATTTGTGTAACCTTATATACAAATGAGCATCAAATATCAAGGACGGATTGCCGACAATATTTCAAAGTTATATTTTGTTATATTTCTATTCATTAAACTTTTTTTCATTAAACGTGGTTGAAATAAAGTCGAAGTAGTAGGTCAACGCACTATTTAAGTGACAGCCTATTTATCCTTTTCTTAATGATGCCCGAATTGAACTCGAAGAAATAACAGAAGCAGGCAGACGAGGAAGAAAGAGGAAGCTCTTTGCTTCCTCCGATTTTAAGGACTGTCAAGTGTCTACAACCAAAAGGATGGAGGACGGTCGTTCTTCTGGTCATTCGATGATAGAAAAGAGATCCAGCATTTAAGCATATAATTTCTGAGCACACTCTCCAAAGTGTATTGTATGGAATACCGAGAGATTGGTTACTTTTTGTCCTTAGCTCTAGCTCTGATTAGATAGTATTTAACCTGGTTGTGGTCACCAATACAGTTTGAATCTTGATCACCTTTTCCAAGCGTTATACTCCTTATGTCTCTTTATTTTATATTTTAAAGTAATAGTCAACACTTCGTTCTTTGTGTGATATTAATTTCTAGACCAGTGTCATTGTATGTTACAAAACCCATGTTGACATTGTAATTTATACTAAGCTACAAACCGATTTAATTCTTAAGCATAATCCAGAACACTTGATACTCGGGCCAAGGAGAGGCTTACTCTGACAGCGACATGCAAATATCACTCACTATCTTTACGAGATTAACTATAACGTAATTAATATAAATATGTATATGTACATTTTATATATTAAATATTTTTATCAAAACAATATTGAGAAATTAGTGTAAATATGATATTAAAAAATAAATAAGGTAATTTACCAAATTATTAAAGAAAATAATAAGTTTTAAGCCGCATATTTCAAAACAATATTTTACTTCGCACATGAATCCCTGTCATAAAAATGTAAACAATGAAGTGTCCCATGTTCAAGACAAGGTCACTTGCAAGTACAAGGCTGTTAGAGTACTGCAAGATCCTAGATATCTCGGGGGAAAATGGAATGTTTCTTTATAAATATTATTAATATTATAAAAGCATTCTTACACCTCTGTGAAAATTAATTAGGTTGTAGACATTTTAACTTGATACGTATTTATCATGTAGAAAACAGAGTTTTATATGTAGTATTAAGAACAACATTAAAAATAGATTATTTTCATTATAAACATATGTAAAGATTGAATTAATGTTTGTTTATTAAAATTTAACCGTAATGGATCAATATTAATAGAATTCTGTTACAATACGATTAAAAGAATAAATTACGGAAATTTAAAATAATATATAAGGAATAATATACATATAAGGAATTTTACAAGTATATAATATTAATTATCAAAAGCATCATCATGCATTAATATATTCTATGCTTGAAACCAAATAATTGGTTCTCATTTATTCTTTTATTAAACATATAGTTATTAAAATTCTTTGTGTGTTTCGTTGATCGCGTGCTTGCAAGAATATCAAACAAAATTAATAAGGAAGTTGAAGTATAAAACATAAATACTTACCTACAATTTTATTCCTTAATAAAAGTGCGGTTCCATAGGTCTTTCTTTTTAAATAGGTTTCAAAATAAATAGGCTTAACATTATTAAAATACATTAGAAATTGATGAAGCTTCAGTACTCGAAGACGTATGTCCATTTATTTTAAGCTATATAAAATTCCACGAATCAAGATTAAAAAGTAATTAAAAAGAATAAAAATAACACTGTGAAAAACAAAAGCGATCTCAATCTGTAATGTCAATCTCACTCAGTCACGTTTATTTCAACAAATAATGACATTGAATTTCAACAGTGGCCATTATCTTGCTATAAATATATGAATCTTGAATATAGAGAAAAATTTATCATCCGTTTAAATTAACTGATGTATTGGATAAAACTTACAGTACACGGATTTTGACTGGATTTTTAATTTATTTTAACTGTTTAAAAGGATATTATTATAGGGATTGTTATATCTTATTATACTATTGAAAGATTTTAACGCTTGTCAACTTTTTTTCATGTTCAAAGCAATTTTCTCTTAAAACAACTTACAAAGTACAGAATATTTATATAAAGAGAAAAAAAATAAAACTAAAGTTAAGAATGATCACGTGAATTATTTTTAGTGGTTTTCTGAACCCTCCAAAACTAACTTAATGGGCTTCTGAAGATCTCTAAGGTAACGTAGAATAAATTTATCACTGTTGGAGATTTACTACATATTTCAGTCCAGTCATTTTAGGCATTTTAAACACCTTTATTACGGCTTTATTATGAAGTTGTGAAAAATAAATAAGGACTCTGTCCTATAGTTTCTGTACCAACATAAATTGTTGGTAATTATAAAAATAAGTATTATAACGCCAAATAAATAGATCTGCAGTCAATTAAAAAAATACAGAAATAAATTTCGACAAAATTCAATCAAAACACTCGGAAAGGGTCTTACCATTATCACCAGTAAACGTTTCTACGATAGTTCATAACTGTAAGGTAACGATCGATCCGCTGTAGCTATTTCAACGAATCAGTTTACATAAAAAAAATAAGAGTATCTTTGTGAATATTTACAATATGGATTAAGTCCAAATCCAACAGCACCATTTGATAATGTTTTCATGAGATACATATAGTAGGTACGTCTTACTTAAAACCTCAACCATTTGAAATGTCATTTGAATGGGATATAATATGTCTCACTAAAAATATCTTTCTCGAAACGTTTAAATATAAAATAAAAGGTTTTAAGACACTTACAAACATTAATAAAAGCAAAAGAGTTTACGCCGTGGTGTACATCATACGGTACCGTGAGTGCATTCTATTCGCTTTCGCAGCGCTTTAATCCGAAAACTGTTAACTTTACAGAAAAATGGAAAGAAAATGTCTCTTGTATATAATTTTATGAGGAACAATTTTTATAATAACCTCTATCGACCTCCGACCAACAGGTCGCGAAATATTTGGAAAAAAACTGATTTTTGTGACCTTTTGACCTCTGTAACTTTTAGCCGGCAAGATATCGATGTCGATTTTTACATACAAACACAAAAACATAAAATATTTAACATACACTATTTAGCGCCAAATCAAATAACTAACTTGAAAAATAGAAAAATATATCATCTGTTATGGTAACACAATATAAATATAATTCAGATAAATACTAGTTCAAATGTATATGTAATATATAAAACAAGAATAAGACACATAAAATATATTTAAAATAGTAAGAAATAAAGAAGTAGGTTTATATGTAATATTAATGTAGTGGCTATATAATAATCGATATTTCAATATTGGAGAAAATACGAATATTCCTAAAATACGCGACTCCTGTTATGTCATTTATGGTGTTATCAATAAAATTATTTTCGTAGTAAGCATTCCAAAAAAACATATGAATAAATAATCTTAATCTCAATTACCTCAAATTTACGGCGGGATGCCAAAATCGTAAATAATAGTAATTTGCATATTTAATAAATAACATTCCGCTAACTATAAATATAAGAAATAGTCCAGAAGTATTTCATTAAGAAATAGCTAACCCGACAGAGTTACTCTAATATGTACAACTCAGTAGCTGATTAAATTCAAAGTATACCCTTATAATATATCCCAACATCACGCCATCCAATAATAATTAAAAAAGCCATTTAGTTTTCAACTAGAAAATATATAAATATTATTAAAAGTTAAAATATATAATTTTCAATGATAGCTACGTTTATTAAATAAAAAGATTGTTTGGAACAAAAATATTTTCAAACTAATAGATATGTAAAACATTAAGTTAGAAGTATTCTGTAACCCACTAACCAATTAGCACAGAGCATGTATTAGTGCAGTCTTCCTGGGAAATAAAATTATTCTTATTTCCGCGACAACCACCGTAGCTAAAAGGCACGCACATCCCCTTGAGAGTTGAAAACGCCCAGCGGGAGTACAATCCACGACAAGGACCCGGGTCGGGAACCTCCATACAGATACCTGAAAGATGAGTACTATTAAAACATTCACAGTACATACATCGAATAAATTATGTTACATAATAAATCTCTTTCCATAAGTACTTCAAAAGTATGGTTTATAATTATAAATTATTATATTTACTTCTTCGAGATTAACTATTTGAGTGGTGCACTATTATTATACGTATTTTATAATCACAACTTACGCTTAGCTGTAATCATGTCGATCGTACAATCCTCTCTTTCGGAACATGGACGTTGTTGCATGAGTTCGACTCGCGAGCTGCATTCTTGCTGACGGTCTGCTGGCACCAGCAGCAGACGAGTACGGAACGCCACACCGCGGCCACACGACGCTGAACAAGGAGACCACGATGCCCACGGACTAGTGGGACACTGAGGGTCCGACACTTCTTGAACTTCTCCCTCGGGGCAGGGAGGCTCCATGCATTTGCGGTTTTCCTCTAATAAAAGTTGTAAAATTAGAGTTTGAAAAAGTTTCGAAGCACAACATTAAAATATTGTCAATATTCCCACCGGTGTTCACAAGGGGACATTTTTTGTATCCCATGTGATCAATAAATGTTCTTCGCCTCGTAGCTATTCCAACGCCACATGTAGCGGAGCACTCGCCCCAAGGACCCCATTCAGTAGTGCGGCAAACTGGCAGGTCGGTACCAGACTCCGAATTAGAGTCCGGTATCGGGTCTTCACCTTCACTATGAAATAAATGAAATAATAGATTACACTTTTTTTCGAAATATTTAACAAAAGACTTTGTAGGTGCCTTAACTGTACTCAAATTGAATTAAAATATTTTAAATAAAAATAAAATACTAAACAACATAAAGTCACATATTAATAACAATATAGAACTCACGGACATTCGGGAATATCTGCGACACACATTTCCTTGGACACAAGCTGACGGTCGCATTGGAACATCTGCGCCTTCTGTGGCATTCGATATTCGCGAGTTCGCATACGGAGCCCCTTACCACATGACACCGAGCAAGGAGACCACTTGCTCCATTCAGTTACCGCACATTGGGCTACAAAATGTAAAGAGACAATCAATCAATTGGATATATGAGATAATTTACATGATATGTGGAGAAAAGTGCTCACGTATATCGACCGAGCGAGTATTTTCTTGTTCTTCGACTACAAGACTCTGAAGTACTTCCTGGTCACATGCTCGCGATATAAGGCTTTCTCGCTTCAAGTATAACCTTGCCATTGGGTTCATGCTGTCGCTAGCGGGATTGTAAAACGGGGCTCTTGGATCCTCAGGATACATAGTCGTGATCCGGTACATCTTTTCACGAGGAACTGTTTCTGAATTTGGAGACTGTAAATAGGAATCCATATTTTTACAGAGAAATGATAAAAAACAACAACATATTTATTATAAACTGTGATTACCATGTAAGTTATACCGTTATCAGTGCCAGCGTCATATGGAAATAGATCTATGACCTTGTTTTCAGTCCATGTACAGTCCTTCTGGCAAAGATCAAGTCCACTCACTCCCACCACCCAATCGGGAGAAGGTCCTATTATCATGTATTTAATGGAGTTATGGAATTAGCATAAACATATATGAGCAGGGATATATAATTAAGTTTATTTTTACAAAAAGAAATAAATCGAATAGTTCCATAAAAAGCTAATAGATATTAATTGTTCACTTCACTTTTTAACAGATATCCTTTCCTTACCAAACATAGATGCAAGTGACAGTAAATGTCTTTTGCGATCGACGGTAAAGGTAGCCGAAGTGTTCAAGTTTAGTCTGGGATGCCAAAGACCGGCAGCCTTCACTACGCTACGCAGATATGCTGGACCATGTTGATGCAGCTCACGTTCCAATAGACCTGGTGAACCCCACTCTGCTAAAGACCTGCCAACAGATATTTTCAGTTAGCAGTGTCAAAGAAAAATAAACCAGACATCACGAAAATTATAATCTTCCTATTTCTTTAATGTGATTACAAAAAAAACTTAAATATATTCTAGTGTAACCTGAAGCCATCAGTAGCAATTTCCCCTTCTCCCCAAAAAGAAAAGTTCTTGACGTGAGTCGCACCAATGACATCAGAGAAATGTGTCAGCCAGAGAGCCTGCACGGGAAAGTCCTTAGGATGAGTCTGCGGGGACCACAGACCCTCAAACACCATCTAAGAAACGAACAATTATTAAAAAATGCATCTGATAAAAATACTAAGATTCAGGCATCGTACGTACACTATACTTTGCGTCATCGCAAGCACAGCAATCTATACTAGGCGGTTCTTCACATATGCGATGGGTCAGTTGTCCATCAGCTGCGAACCACCGAGTGTCATTTTCGTAAACCATTGCCCTAAATACATGTTTATTATCAAAATCCTTATTTATTTAATAAGGTCATTATAAAATCCTTACATAGGTTTACTTCTTACATAGGTAATTTTATAGGCTACCTTATCAGCACACATCCCGAACCCGTCGGTGGAGCTTTCCACATAACCTGCACTTCTGTTTTAGGCAAATCATCAGCTTCTATGACGGAATTTGTACATTCCTCATCGAACTTGCTAAGCGTGTCCGCGAACAGCTGGAACTGTCCCTGTTTCCGCGGAGTCCGTGGAGATGATGGATCTAATGGATCCAGTATCAGCTGGAACCTGGTAAACTGTTGTACCACGTCGTGAGTTCGCGAACCAACCAAAGTTACTGAAATATATAATAAATACACATTAATATTATTGACTTATCACATTTTTTTTAAACTTCTGCAGTAATTTTAAAAGTAAATAGACATTTAACTTACGTGAAAGTAATATAATAAATAACCATTGTGTTAAAGTTTCAAAAAGACAGGGAATATGTAATAATTTAGCAATAATATGTGCAGTAGTCAATTTGCGGATGTTTTCAATGTTAATAGTTATAGCACGAGTTACGTGACTCGCTAATACAACCATACTTTGCAAATTGCCAGTAATTTTAGTAACAATTTACTCAGCATCATAATATTCATTTGTTATTCCTAGCAATTAAAAATTGTCTTTTATTTTAATCTCAATCTCTGTTTCAACCTACCGACATATCTTTGTTCCGGAGTGTATCTTTCTACGTCTCCATTAATGATGACTCGATAGAAATTGTCTCCCGGTGATTTTTCTCCAGCACCTTCCCCTGGATGTAACTCACAAGCCTTCACACAGACCACTATCAAACACCACGCTCCAACACTCCGCCACATCGTGGTAATCTTCATTCTATGAACAAAAGTGTAGGTTATATCAGATTCAACAGTTATCCTGACAAAAATATTTATTTTTTTATTCTTCAAGTGAAGAAGTCATAATGTCTTATTTAACTACCTAAAATATCGTAACAGAATAGAATTTAACTGATTTCTCATAAATAATAATATGTATATGAATATTATTTCAATTAAATATTAACTTACCACCGATATGTTTACAAAGTAAGACTACGGGATGTGGAGTGCGCGATAAGCTGCCGGCCGCCGATAGTGGGTCAGATGTCATGTGGTCAAACACCGCCCAGAGACGGTCTTTACAATAATTAGACCTATTTTAATATCATCCATTAAATATATTATTCTGAATATAAAATGTGACCGACATTTTGTAATAGAATAATAGTTGATTTATGATTATTGAAGCAATACATCAAATGTAAAAATTGAAGTTTAATCGTTGAACATTAAGAACTGTAGCTTTTTAAATTAATTACTGACCGATACCGAAAAGCGGAGATTCGTTTTGACAAAAATAAAAACAAATGAAAATCGCCAATAAACAATATAATGGGTTTGTTTTTCAATTCCTTTAAGTAACTAAGGTAATAATATTTTTGTTAAAGGTATTGGGATATATGTATATTGGATATTGGAAATTACATAGTTTAGTTCACGAAACGATTGGGAGGCTCACCCTCAGTGACGTCACCAGTGACGTAAATTCGGTCAATCACTGCTTCACATCTACTAAATTGGGGGATCGAGTTTGATGCAATAACAAATATAAACACCAATTTGATGGATGGATATTCTAAATCATAACATTATTTGAGCATATTTAGAAACCGTATAACATATCTAGACAGTACCGCGTTATTTTTAAAAATTACTATACATTTTTCTGCAAATCCTTTTTTTTCCTAAGAAAATATAAATTATATTAACACTTACGGGTTTATAAAATATACGCAAGACGGGAATCACACGCAATTCGTGAATTACGCACCTATTAACTTTGACCTTCAGAATATTGCTCAGAACATCTGACATTTTTTCAGTTAATTTTCACGTTTGTTTTCAATATTATAACTTTCACTAAGTTAACATGAAGACAAAACACTCACCTTAGTGGCTTGTATCCCGGTAATAAGGCGAAGACAGCGTTAGCGACTCCTGCCAAGTGCTCTCTTCCGCCACTCACACAATATTTTCGTTGAGGACTACCATAAATAAATGCTTCAGGAGATATTAATAAATTCATTATTCTTTTTTTGATATTACTAACAAAGTCACAAAAACTTTAAAGTACTATTTTACAATAAAATGTACTAAATTCCTCGTTAGGTAATTAATATTTCAACTTACCAATCCTTCAAAATATATATTATTTAAAAATTATACAAAATTTATACGAAGTACATAAATTTTACAAAGAAATATGTGTTAATGTCCTTAGAATTCATTTAACTCTTCAATTTCAACATTTCATTGATCTAAACAATAAAGTAAACTCAAAAAGTTCGATAGTAGTATTCTAAATTAACGTTCATTTGTTTAAAGAGATCATTATTAGTGACATTCACAGTTAAACGCAAGTAAGTTTAATTTTCAGTTATTTTTTTAGGATTTACCAAAACGTATAATTGTGGTGGGTAGACCATAAATAATTTTATGTTGCTTTAATCCATAAAAAAAATATCGTTCTAGGAGATATCGACGAAAATTTTCTGTAGTTTTTACACTTAAACGTATCGTCAAAGGTCTTGAAATGTTCCAATTCACTTCTAGTGACAATAGGGTAATTTGTAAACATGGAAATTGGTTCATAATTTACGACATTAGCTACTTTACTCCTTTATCCCATAACATTAGCTTTTCTTGAACCGTACTTATCGAAATATTATCTATATAGAACAAGTATAATATATACGGTGGCCCGAAAGCATAAATGAAGTACTTTCAATAACACGGAAGAGTTATGAAAACATTGCTTGGAAACACATAAGAAAATTATTTTAGGCAGTTATGTAAAATTTACTTATTTTCATGTGCGCTTTCCTTGCCGCTCTAAGATAAACATACATGAGTACTATGAAGTAATTTTTAGAAATAGTAGTTATTGAAGTTGCAAAGAAAATTTCAGACCTATAAATAAAAAAGTGTATACCTACTTACACCGAACACTTTGCCGTTATTTTAATTAGAAATAATTTTTCTTAGTATGTATAAACTTTGCGTAACTTCGTTCGTTAATCTTTTGGACACTGCAAAGCAGGTTTGAGTTGTGTCTATTGAAATAAACATTACAATTTAAATACGATCGTAAAAAATATATATCAAAAAACTATCCATGAGTCTGTTTGTAGAGATGGCCACCCTACTCATTACAGACCGCGTTCCTTATACCATACGCCCACTGACAAAATGTATGACTAAAGAAGTACCCAATTTTACTCTTACATACATCAAATTTCTCTAATTACGAGTCCAAGATAGCGGAAGCCAACAATTAATGGGCCCCATTAACATCATTTGTCGAGCAACAACTAGCAAACAAAATTAAGTATAATTAACTGAGTGTAACGTGTTTCAGTTTGGTCATTCTTCATTTGAATCGTAAATCTACATCAACGGAATTAATGCGCTTTGTATGCAACCCGCGGCCTTCATGCCTGTTGGATCAAATCTATGATGTTATCGCAATTTTCTCAAATACTTGAACTGGAACGATAACAAAATTACAGACGTCCGCCGGCTAAATATCAATTCTATAAATCAAAAATATTATATTAGTGATGTGGTTAAAATTAAATAGGTACATGTTACTATTATATTTACATATATCTTAAGGCTTTTTACATGGTTTAATGTCTCATTTAGTTTCTAATATAAAAATGTGAGTATTCATGTCATCAGCCTATCAGAAGCCAACTGCTGAGCAAGGCCTCTTTCTCACATGGAGAAGACGGGTTGGTGATTTCAAACGGGTTGGTAATTTTAAACTTATAATTGTGAAACTATAAGTCCAGGTTTCCCCATGATGTTTTCCTTCACCGTGTGTCAGTGATGTCTAAATACTCTCAGAAAGTATATATGACTACGAAAAATCACATTGGTACTTGCCAGGTTTGAACCCGCGCCCTCGGCAACGAGAGGCGGACCCCTTAACCACTAGGCCACCACTGACTGAGTATTCATACAGTGAGATAATTTATTTTGAAGTACTTATTTATTATCTATTTAAGTTAAAAATATCAAAAGTTTTGATGATAGCCCTCCTAAAATCGCAATCGTCCAAGTTTGAATCCTGTCGTCCACATACGTCAGAATAGTTTATTCTAAAATTGCCATCTTCTCTTCTTGAAAACCTTTCAACGTTTGATCTTTTTCCAACTTCAAAAATCGCTTTACTTGGTTCTAAATAAAACTGACAACCTAAACTAACTCGAAAATAAACCTTCCTTCAATTACACATAAATAATTACTGATTATAATAAAATCACAAGAAATAAATTAATTATATCTATGAGTCTGCGAATCAAATGCAAATCATCAAAGCTAAGAAAATTATAATAGTCAAAAACATTCAAACTATTACGCAGTAGGTATACCAAAGAATTTGTTTAAAATTGGAAGTCCTAAACGATCAATAATAATTATCAAATTGGTTAAATATTTCGTTATCAAAATAACATATTCGAGTGTCGCATTGATAACCTTACTTTGAAGTCGCTTAATACAAACATTGGTAGATTATTCCTTGAGGATCTCAATGACGTCAATTTAGTCCGTTATTCGGCTGTTAAATATTTCAAATCTATTCTCATATAAAATTTCAACTATCGTTATACCAGTGAAACTCACTAATTGACGTATTTATTACTTTAAACAAAATTGGCCAAGTGTGAGTCGGAATCGCTCACTGAAGAATCTGTATCGATCATGTGTGTTGCCTTGCAGACCCTTAAATATTCATTTTCTTGATTTTTAGTATTTGTTGTTATAGCGACAACATAAATACATCTGTGAAAACTGGACATCGTGGCAGATGGACCATATCAATTTCTTAGTATAGGGCCACGTTTCGTCTATTTTGAGGTATGGAACAGTAAATATAATAAAACACGTATAAAAATCGAGTATCATTGTATTATCAAATCATAAATAATTATACTTATTAATACAAATTTCAATTAAACACATTATTGACTAGAATAAATTTGTTTTCATATTCTCATCAGACCAAGCATATTATATATTACTAAAGTAAGACAATGTTTTGTTAATGGTAAAATAAGCTATCTTGACCACTTCTTTGTACTCTTTCATAATAGTGGCTTTCTTTATAAAAAGAAATATATAAATAAGGAATGTAAAGTATAAAATTAATAGACATTAAGTCAAATTCATATAAAAGTCCATTCCAAGCATTCCTTTAAACAAAATAAATTTAAATATTTCACACCTTTTGTAATTATAAATATAGCGTTCAATTAATTATGTGCCTAATGAAATTTAGTTTTTGTAATTTTAAAAATACCGACACAGCAAAAGGCTGATCATGTTTTGATTTTATACAATATCAAATAGAGATCTTAATCACTTTGAACCTTCAATAGGACCACAGCATTACCAATTCACTCATTTCTAGATTATATAAAGAATAAATAATTTTAATTAATCTAAAATTAAATTAACGAATTAATTCACTACACAGACTCCTCAAAGTTCGCATACAATACACAATTTAATAACATCAATGCATAATGAACTATTATCTGTATCCGGAAGACTCTTCATTGTGGTTATTTACTGCCATATTATATAATTTATGTATGTATTATTCATTTATACATTCATTCGTAATAACCGGCATCCGTTTTCATCTGTAAAATATCTATTTGATTTTAGAATAATTCGCTTTAATCACTTCGACCTTTCGCCTAAATACATTTTTTAAACCTAATTCTAGTTTTTATTTTGACACTATAATCAATATGGAGGAAATATCTTGAACACTAGCGCCATCACAGTGTCATCTTGTCAAGTGTTCAAACGTAAGTTTGGGCAATATCTCGCTAGAGGCGCTGTTGTATTAACTAAATCAATTAATATGAATATTTCCTGTATGTAATATATAATAATAAAAAATAGAACTGCGTTATTGTTTTTTTTTTTAATAACCTCTGTCTTTTTATACTATGAGGTTACATAACGGTTGATTTCATTAGCCTTTATATCATTCTATCCTCTATATTAATGAAATTATACATAAAAAAAACATTAAATATTCCAACGCACATGATGCAATTTAAATTTAATAAAAAACAACAATCACAATAGATCAGTAGACTAATAATGCTTCACATTCAGAATTTCCGATTATTAAGTTTATAATAAAATTAATCGAAACATAATTTTAGGTGTTGTCGTTGTTTTCCACGGGGGAAATGTTGTCTCAGAAGGTTAGAATGGGTTCCTCGCGGTGATCCAGAATATCTGTAATGAAGGGCATGGATTAGTTAATCATTGGATACGACCCTTTTTTATGTGAAAGGTGACAAACGAGCGGACAACCTACTTGATGGGCAGTAGTGACCGTCGCCCATAGACATCCGCCACATAGATGGAAAGGGAGGGGTGGGAATAGGAAAAGGGCAACTGGCTCTCTCACTCATCGGACGAAACGCAGTCATTACTGACTACTTCACGCCGATCTTCTGTGAGAGTGTGGTATTTCTCGGGCCGAGTTAGCCCATGTTCGAGCTGCAGTATCTTGACTTCAGCTAGGCTCTACTACCTGTATGTACTGTTATAGTGTGTGGTTCACCTTTGGCTATACTCCACCAGGGCAGTGTGACGTATGTAAGGAACGCACAGAGCGGAGCGGACTGCTGTCTTCGGCCCTCTTTCCACAGGTGGAAGGTCTGTGTGAAGCCGCGCATCGCCCATAAAGGGTTGTAAGCTCCGTCGTCCAACTCTGAAACACACAGAATATTACTGACATATGAATGGAGTTTATGGGCGACCGGTGGCTGGCTATTCCATAGTTCTCGGTACCGGAGAGCTTGCGCCGTGGCACGTCACACCAGTAGTAGATATCTGTTCCGTCGGGTGTGGTCCGTCGAGGAGGGAGCGGCGCGTTCTGGAACAGCACAGCCGCCACGCCGCGCCGCCGGGGCAGCGTCACGTAGGCCCGCGCCCCCGCGCTCCACGCGCCGCCCGACTTTTCCCTGTCCGCGCGGCCTTCACTCTCTCCTTGGGCTTGACTCGGCAGCTCCTCCTCTCCCCGGACGGTAAGCGGCGCCATGCAGGCGGGCGGGCGGCGCGAGGCCGCGGGTGCCGGTGCGGGGGACGATCGTCCATCCAGGCAGCTTGCGTCGCAGGCCAGCTCGCACTCTGCGTCGGGGGGAGCGGAGCGCGAGACACGAGCAGGTAGCGGCCTCAGCGGCGGCGGCTGGGGCGCGGGTCTGACGGGGCGGCGGCGCGGGGACACGGTGTGCAGACAGCCGGGGGACAGGTCCGGCGGGGCGCGGCGGTACACGTCCCTCATGTCTCCCTCCCGCCGCGACCCGCCCCCTCCTCCCCCGCCGGCGCCCGCGCAGCACGTCCTCCACCGCACCGAGGAAGCCCGCCGCCCGCGACCCGAACGCCCTACGAACACCAGACAACACTAACGAGATACTCTTTTTAAATTATAATAGATCTCTATAAGGGCTGGCCAGTTATTTCTTTCAGAAGTTATTGAACTGTCTCACACAATTATACTATGCTTCTAAGACTACTTAGACACAGCAGAGAAATGTTAAATCGGTCGATATTAAAGACGGTAGATGTGTGCTCATAAGACTGAAGGAGAGTCAAATACCGATATATAGCATATAACAGATACAATACTAAATCAGCCCTGACTAGGTGCTGTCACGAGTGTAAATAATGTTATTATGTAATGTAGGAGTCTGGTCGAGCGGGCGCGGGCCGGGGCTGCGGGCTTCCTCCGATGAGGAGTGAGGGACGACACGAATACGAACAGCGAGTAATAACAGAATAGTGCGAAATAATACGACAAAGAAGGCGTGCGTAGAATATATAACGGTCGTAGTACATATAACATGAAATATTAAAGTGTACCGGCGCGATGAAGCGACACACAGAAATTCAATAAGTCGAATCATGTCTGATTTTCACGAAATACATACGATAACACGTCCATACATAATTGAGGCAAGCTACGTCAAATTTATAATATGATTACCGTCTCTCAAGTCCCCTGCTTCAACCTCAGCGAGTCCGTCAGCCAGTGCATCAAGACCCTCGTTCTCGGAACGGCTCGTGTCGTCTTTATCCCTCGCACGCCATCCGCCACGCACGAAGTGATTCAAGTTGGCGCTGGGGTCGCTCAGGCGACGCTGAAATCATTAACATATATAAAAATTATAATGTTAACATATCGTTTAAAATCATAATTGTAATAAATATAATATTTAAAGTTTGTTTCATAGAATCGCTAGCAAATTTTAAAATGTAACCAAATTTAAAATATAAATGAAACCAAGTAATATATAATTAGACTTATAACTAATAATTTGTTCGTAACAAAAAATCTAGATATAAAAAATTTATGATTAAAATTATCTTTAGTTTCAATCTTTAAGGAAAATTTACGTAATTTAGTCATTTAAATACGATTTGGAACACTTTTAATCAGTCAAGTGTAAATGAGATGGAAAACAGTTTTGTCATCGTGATTACAAATAGGTACTCCAACTAACTTGTTACTGTCTTATCGACGATCAAACATCAAGACACTCCGACTGATAATGGAAATTTTTCTCAGCTGTTCATAGAGGCGACTGACACAAATAATAATTAAAATAAAACATTCCATACTTTCCCCGCTGATGCATTTTTACTATTGTTTTCTATGACTAGAAATGTATAAGAAATATCGGTTTAATGTTATCACAATTAGATAAGAAATCAAATACATATTATATATTGATTGTATACAACTGGTCATTGTAACAGTTCATACAGATTCAGTATCAGAAGTTGGCTCTGTGACAGAACTTGAAAAACAATGACGACAGTTTTAAACGAGTCCACACAAAAGAATCGTTCAAGGTCAAGGGTGATGTTAAATGTTATGAACATCACTAGTTTATAAATGGCAATTTTTACAACTGTCAAATTCACATATATCCTATAAATAAGCCTTTTTGAAATCAATGACCCATTATCTCGTTGCCATACAATCACTCTTAAATACTGAATAGTCCATGAATGTGCAACTACTTGAACGTTGTTCATAGTGGTTGTGAAAAATCAATGACATATTTGTTAACGATAACGATACTTATAATATAATAAATATAAAATAATATAATAATGATAACGATATTTTATTGGCACTCAAAAGATTAATATTATATAATAATATATAATCGGGCGATTAAAGTGTATATCATACGATGATAAACATATCGGATGTTAAAATTTCTGCTTAAAAATAAAAAGACATGGTTTTGATAAATATCTCCTAAATCACAAAAAAAAAATCGTGATACAAGTCTAATGTCTATAAAAATTATTATTGTTCTTTTATTTTCAATCAATACTACTGTTAGTGGGACGCCATACACAATGTAGTGTAAGTAATTTACGGGCTAACCCCGCTGAAGCACCACGACCATTTTACGTAAGCAGTGCATGTTATGTATAACTGATGCTATCTATTTAATGACATCAAGTACTAAAACACAAAACCCCACCTTCTCGTCTTTGTTACAAAGCATTAGGTCAATCGTACGTGTCCATAGACAATGCATTGAGCAATTGTAGTAACGTGTTTGTTACCTGATGCCTGTATAAGAATAGTTCGTCGGGGTCGTCTTCGAAGTCACTGTCCCACAGCTCCGGACCTAACCCTGGCTCCGAGCAAGGAGTGTGTACTCCTGATGAACGAGCTCGAGATACGGCCACCTGACGGTAACAAATATATTACAAACATACACACTCACTGTGACACGCTCTTCTATTTTATCATTTCATACGAATTATTGATATTATTTATCATACTCTGAAATTCATATAATTTCCGTTTAGACAACAGTTATCTGGCCGTCTCATCGAGATATTATCTTATGATAGTAAGCTTTTTACTTAATCGATATCATTATAGCAACATTTGGTACATATAAGTTATAAAGTAATCTTAAGTATATATGTATTTGATTGTGTGTGTGTGTGTGTTTATTAGTATGTATGTATGTGTGTTGTATACCTCAGCGTGTCCCTTCCCCCCCGGTCCCTTCATCCGCACAAACTCGCACCTGGCCGCAGCGCCGGCTCCTCGTCCCAGCAAACCGAAAGACATACGCTGAGCAACCTTCGTAGACAGCGAAGACTGCTGCTCCATAAATAACATGAAAGAAGTATTGATACCATTCTATTCTCATAAAAACAATATATAAATATCATCAATACAATTGCGTCGTATTTTTATTGCAACATTATAGCGCCAACATTGTTGGTACGCTCGACAGTATCAGATATATGTATTTAATTGATTTTAGTACTTTGGATCTTTATCCGTACTTTGAATATACTAGATCAAATGTTTTATGGCATTAAATTCCTTGAGAATTTAATATTATCATATCAATTTAATGTCTCTAATAAATATTAATAAATATTCCCAAGGAATTCTTAAAAATAAATTATCTAAACTAGGTCTAGAATAGAAGTATAACAACACTAAAATCTCTGCGCCGATCTTTGAATCCATAAAAATAGTTATTGCATTGCAATATTTTTTATTGCAAAATAAGTTGCAATAAAATATTTTACGATCATTTTTCGTTCTATAATGTATAATGGGTATTAAATTAGACTTTAAAAACGTATGTTTATCAGTAATTATTGTTTTTATGTCGAAATTTTTATCAAATACATCGTCAATTGATATTATATCTATATATTATATCTAAATCCTATATTTTTAGCTGTTATATAAAATACATATTTAGGATTTAGAACAAACAAAACCTCTTTTAATTTTTATATGGTTATATGTACAAAAGTTTAAAAAAATCACTTAAGATTTGAACAAAAATATACGTGAATTATAAATAAAGGTATAGCTTTAAGCGACCTAGCGAGATTTGAGTCGTATAGAATCAAAGGCGGCAATCTACACTTAGACTGAAATCAGAGAATTGAACATTTTCGGTTTGTGTCGTCCGATTCAAAAATAATATTACGTAACTTTATTTTAAGTGATGTAAGTATTGATGCGCTTAATGTTAAACTCTCATTGTGTACTATAAAAATAACAATTTGAAGAAATTTAGAAAAGAATTTTGCAGAATGCCGGATTTGAAACCAAACATCTGAGAATGCCGTATTTGATACCAAATTATGTCGAGATTGCCGTTTATGAAACTTACCAAAAAATTAACTCGTTCAGGGTTGTCAAAAGGATATAAAAAAATGTTATAAATTTGTTTTAAGTATATGTGTATTTTAAAAAAAGCTGACAATTATAATTTAAAACTGTGTAACTTTTTTCAGATTTTGTTCAGGAATATTAAAAGAACCGCATGAAAATCCATTCACACATATACGCATAGTATAGTGGTCAACTTTATAACACTCATCTTTTGTTAGGGTTAAAAAACATAGAATACACTTTGTCTTAGTCGTGACGTGACAGCCCTATACATTTTACTTGAGTTTCTTCGCCAAGTTTTGTTTCCATTTTTCTGAGTTTCTCTGTCGTTTCCGGGCAAACTTATTTATTACAGGCTTAGAATGTACATCCATGATTCAATTTATACATATATTTTATAACAGTAATCACAATAAATAAAATAATTCAATAAAACACGGACACAAATTCGTGAAAAACTTCATACAGACGTCATTAGATCACGTGACCACACGGACGCTTGTGATTGGTGGAGTGAGTTAGAATGCCGGGTTTGATTCTTATGCTGTTGAAGATTGCCGGATTTGATGCTAAACCTGATTTTCAAAAAGGATTTCACTGCGAGATAGTCGTTTTTGTTATAAAGTAAATGAAGTACGTAACGTTATTTTAAATTTCCTGTGTGTCCATATAAAAATCTTTATTTTGACAAAATATGCAGATTGCCGCCTTTGATTCTATACGACTCATTTAAAACGTTCATGTTTTACATAGTACCAACTAGAAACAATAATTATATAAAGTGCAATTGAAATGATAATAAGAAATAGAATAAAATAGTTTAATACATTGGAATTTATATGTATAAACATAAAAAATCACAGTACCACTAGCATCTTTTGTGTCGGTAAATAAAAATATTTCCAAACACGTTCAGCTCAGAGATCTCACGTAATGAGATCACAAAATATAATTGTATGTCATCGAAAGAAAAAACGAGCAAAGTTTTAACATATTTCATGAATAAAACTTGGAACGTAACGAGGTCAGAACGGTTTTCAGAAACTCTGTAGCTTACTTACAGGCGCAGACATTAACTTATTAGAAGGTTACTATTATACATTATTACAATAAACCGAATTTAAAATTTATATCACTTAATTATATAAGGTACAAAGAAGGCACATAGAAAATTGTATTAATTTAAATAAAATAGATTCTTATTAACCAAAGAGGTCAAGAAAAGTCGAATAAATAAAGAATAATGAAAGACTAATAAAAATCATTTGTTGCTAACGATGTCACATGATACACTCAGCCGATAAAAACCTCGTTTGGTTTTAATCAACAACCAATTGTTATATAATATATGTACATACTACTTAATACAAGTAAATAACTGAACACTATGTATTCCGAGATACTAGGTCATGTATTTTATTGAGCGACCTACATTTTTGTATTACAATCGTTTTAACATAAATTAATATATACTCTCATACGATAATATTAACACAAGTTATTAAAATAATCTCGTGTCGATGCTGGGACAAGTGGTAATTTCGTATAAAGGATTCAGTCAGAACTGTCATTAATATGGCTCAATCGATTACGATCGGCGTCTAGTCGGCGCGACGATACTTGTTGATATTACGAGTACAACCTACAAACTCACTTACCAACGCTATATGAAACTTGTCTAAATTTATTAAATTATTCAATTTATTACTACCATCAGTGAAAAATGTTTACAGTATATTCAGCCTTTAATTAAGTATATGCCATACACTCGGCCAATACCTTCAATCAATGTGTCCATTGATGATAGGTTACAGGTAAACGCTGAACTATTCAATACAATACTATAATAGATATGTAATTTTTCTATTTGTGAACGAGTAAATTTAAAAAATATTTTAATATAAAACTGTGACAAATTATTTGAATCATACTTTATTTCAATGATGTTTAGTTGCAGTAATAAAACTTAGTATCTTATAGAGACATAAAAGTATTTTAATAATGTGACGTCATGAGTTTACAAGTGTCCTACATTTCAGTCTTCTGACCTATCGGTAAGTATGTAGAACGGGGGAAAATTAAATCAATAATGATTTTAAATTATTTTAATTAAAACAAATTTAAAGAAACACGTAGGTACGTACGTATTTAAAGAAACACATAGGTACGTACACAACTTCGAAAATAGTTTTATTTAAAAAACAATGTGATAGTTTAAGAAAATGTCTGCCATACATAAAAATAAAAATAAAAATGAAAAAAGGAATTTTCTCTTAGTCCGCTAAAAGGAAATATTATTGTGTTTGGGAAACACAGCAAGAATTGTAAATCATTCCCTGCTTTCGGAAACCTATAAATCAGAAGTTCTTAGTTCACAGTGGGGGGGCGGGTAATGTGACGTTACGCGGTATGACCAGTTTCCCGTGACCCGTGAACCTTGGCTGATCATTTCAAGTTTCAGTTACAGGAGCATACTTTACAGAACAATGATAACAATGAAGCATTTCTTGTACTGTATCTGTCAACAAAACTATCACTTCGTTTTAATCTTAACTATTGTTAAAATGGCAATATTGTAGGAAGAAATCCTTTTCTTACTGAATGGCCGCCTACGGAGTGACGTCATCGTAGCCCGAATACAGCAGCCAATTACCACCCACTAGTGACTTGTGGCCCATATTCTGTGATAATGCTGTATTTATTGAATTTAATTCATTAGAACTATTGTACATCGTTAGAACATAATGATAACTGGAACCATCTCAATTACTTTTTACGTGATAATTAATTACTGTTTGATGATTAATTTTTTTATAGCATACCTATAATATGTATTCATTCAATACTATAATAGCGTTTTCATTCGTTTTTTTATATTTTCCATAGCTAATCACGTCGTAAACATATTTATAGTCCATTCGACGTGAAAAGCAAAGGTTATTAACCAAACAACAAAGACGTAACGATTCCAACTTACGTGTTGTGAATATAATTAAATTGAAACAAATATGTATGCTTATTAATTTTCCAAAAACATATAATGAGTTGGTTCAATGACTGAAGTTCGACAAGAAAAATTTTCGAAATCTTCGAAATTCGAAAAGAATTTTTTTTTCCGGATTATTCCGATGATACAAAAATTTAAAATTATTATTAAAAAATATTTCTATTTTTATTTGACGAACATGAGAGCGTCTTTAATTTATCAGAATATCATTCATGCCTCACTGAAAGACTTATTTTTAATATTTTAACATACAAAGCGATGCTTATGAACTATTTTCAAGGACAAGTCAGTTTGACAAAAAGTAGAAATTTTCAAATTCTACTTCTTTTAAGTATTTGTGTTATATTTTGACAATTTATTGCGATGCGTCTACTAATTTTATTGAACTCACAAAAAATTCGCGAAAAATATTTTTCTATTTATATAAAATATTTCAATTCTCGCAAACAATGAATCAGGTGACAGATATTTTACACTCACCATGACTTTCAATACTAATATTTTTATCTTTTGACGATTACGATCAGCGTTTTTATCTAGTGTTCGAGTGTATCAAAATGTATATAAATTATCGTAACAATTAATTTTGATAAACATATGAGTAATGTGAACTTTTGAGTATTTCAATTAATTTGTTTTATATATCATTATTCACTTATAACTTACCCGAGCATCGTAGACCCTGGTGAGAGCGTCGTATCTTATCGATCCAAGGAAGATGACTGCCTGAGCGGCCCCTCCCCGGCCACGAGCCACCAGCTCCACGCATACCATCTCACCATCTCGAACAACGATGTCGCAGAAAACCTGCATTCAGACCAGCATTTGACACCTAAATACTCATAACAGACTGAGTTAACAATCATAAAACGTCATACTCGAGAGTATCAAGTTACATATGATCTCGTGCACAAAAAAAAAACATTCAAATTGCTTTTAAAGTGTATCAATATTTATAAATGTGAACCTAACAAACCATTAGTGTATGAACAATAAACTGTACTATTATTAAACATGTTTACCTTCCTGTAGTTAAACATTAAGTTTCCTCTTAGTTTGAATTGTTATTTAGTTACAATACAAAGAGGTTTATTATATTATTAATCTTAATCGCTATCTCTTAATTAATATCACCTTATCAAACTTTTATGAAATCCATTTATGACGGTTACCCTTACCACACATTGTTATCAGCTATGCGTTTTATCTTCCTCCAGAGTAATATCGATAAGAGAAATTCTTATCTCGTTTTGCCGACTCGAGAACAATCCGAGCACAAAACAATCCAACATGCGATAGCGAAATTCCTAACTCAAAACCAAACCCTACCGATTGTAATTCTACAGTACTCAATAAGACATTAATGACATAATATGCATTTCATTCGGAAAATTCATACATTTATTACTTATTAATAACAACTTACAACATTTTATTACTTCTAACTTCATTTTATAGTAAATATTACTGTCAAAAATTAATGACACTAATGTGACACAAGATGGCGGCGCATTAACTTGCAACGTCACTTTATTGGTGGGAGTTAATAGTGGCATGTGACGTCACCCGTGTGAGTCACGCGATCTTTGGACTGAGAGCAAGTTGTACAGAATACTAGGAAACATACAAATCCAATGTTTATTCCAATACTGATTCACTATCAAATATACTGTGGTTACATCATAATCTATTATTGAAATTTGCAACACTGGTGATAATATAATTTACGCTGATTCACTTAATTACGCTAATAGCATTCCGATATCTATTCTAAGTGATAGTAAATACAAAACAAAAACAATCTCAAGTTTTCATAATAATTCATTTAATTATCAAATGTAATTCATCTTAAAAAGTGTATAAAAGGCATCACAGATTGAAAGCATATGATAATACACATTTGAAATTATTATATTCCCGCACTTCTTATTCAATTTAAATTGACTACAACAAAGGTTGAGAGGATCTAAAAGTATAAACCGGACATTTATTCTAAAATAGATCATTTCTCGAGTTTAAGTTTCTTAAATAACTTCAATTCACTCCATCAAAATACATTCATTAGTATATATGTATTAAAGATAATGACTCACGAATCATCAAATAAATTGTCATGACAGAGGGCTTATGATAAACTGTAAACTTAGTTTTTGCCATATTTATAACCAGGAATACACAATCAAAGTTGTCTTTGTATTGGTATTTACTTTCGTAAAATATCGAAACGATCATACTCGCCAAATTATGCATGATAACATCTATACGACATGAAGATTTCTTACAATTTTCATTAATTGCTAACCACGAGACCTTGAGGAAATCGTTATGAGTTTAGAGCCGAAATAAACATTGTTGTTTTTAGGAGTTGTAAGCATTTCGCGGCCGACTGCCGACGCATTAACATCGCCTTCGTCTTATTTATTGAGTATTTGCGAAATAATCAATATCAACAATGTCATTTCATGGCCGAAGTAAACTTTTTATAGGTAATTATTAGCTAACAGTCATGGACAGTAATATTTCAGACTTGCTAGCAATTTTTATGTTAGAGTTAGGTAGTATTTTTTTAATTAGAGCATTGTAGTCGGAAAACATGAATAATTGGAACGCTGGAGGCTTTCCAATCTTTTAACTGGGCTACTACGTTGCTCTTAAATTATAGTGTAATGAGCTCTAAGAAAATGTTCCACTATGATAATTCAGGGCCAATCTAGAGTATTTCTCTTACATGTCCCCATTGGCGACATTGCCAAAATATCCTTACAGAATCCTTAAAAAAACGGAGGAAGCCAAAATTTTGGATCCGTCAAGATATTATAGCGTTTGTTGTCCTTTAATTAAGGTTTTATTTCAAAAAAAATACATTACATAAAAATATTGAGCGCCTATTTTTAAATGCTTTTGATAGGACCCATCTCACTCTGTTAACTTTTATTGAAATCAATTCATAATACCATCATAAAATATGAATATATAAAATATCTTGTCTTTCTGCACCTAATACTTTATAATGCATTTGTTTACATATTTTAAAACTAAAGATTAGTAAATGTATATTTCAAAACAAATATACCTTAACAGACTGCTTAATTAAAGTCTAGACTAATGTTAGTTATAATTAATAAACTATTTGTCTATAGACATCACAAACATAAGAGGTAATTTAAGTACTGTTATTATTTACTTTGATTTTTGTACATAATTTTATATATGTACTCATTTTAACTTATTCTAATAATTGTGATTAATTTTATCACTGGCTCGTTCACGAAAAAGCTACTTAATGGATTTTAATATCTAACAAATATTAATGTTCACATATTAATTTACGTACATAGACTTTAATTTAGACCATAGGATTAATGGTAGCTGCATAGTATGTAGTTTAAAATAATAATTTTAAAAAAGCAGTAAATCCGAAAATATTAGTTTTATTTATATTATAGGTATATTTTCAGGGAACAGGACAGAACAATTGTATGAAGTCATATCTTTTTCAGCACACATTATTCACCTCTTTTGAATTCAATTCCCAAGTCAAAATAGAGGAAGATTTTTATAAATAAAATTTTATTACTCGTCATCAGCCTATCAGAGCCCACTGCTGAGCAAAGGCCTCTTTCTCACATGAAGAAGTTTTGAGCATTTTGAGATTTCAAACTTATAATTGTGGAATTATATAAGTCCAGGTTTTCTCACGATGTTTTCCTTCACCGTCTGTCAGTGATGTCTAAATACTCTTAGAAAGTACATATGACTCGGAATAATCACATTGGTACTTGCCGGGATCGAACCCGCGGCCACCACTGACTTAAAATTTATTACTGTTGTAGATATATTTGTTGGGAAAATATAAGTCTAAAACAACTAGAAATATTCTTTATACAAATTCCGTACTAATATTATAAAAATAGATTTTTTCTTGTATCACGTTATTCCATCTTCTGTATTTATTCATAGTAAAAACTCGTATTGTATTTTTATAAACGATCAAGTTTGAATAATATAAAAGATGTATTCTTTTCCTTTACGTCACTACAGCATTGATAATTTATTTGATGATTTTGTTGTACATTTTTCATTAACTCGATTATAAAGGAGTACCTCAACCATGATTAAACATTTTCTAGTTAAATATATATTTATTGAAGTTTAGTTTTACGATTCAAGCCCGAGGTAATTCATTTCTGTGATGCGTCGATTTCGTTTGTAAATATAAACAAATTACTTGAAAATATAATTAAATTTATACATAAAAATAATACATAAATTAAAACATAAAAATAACGATTTAAAACTAAAGTAGAAAAATAATTTTTCAGAATAAATTTCTTCATTCTATGTGATTTTTATTTGGCCTAAACACTTTAAATTCCTTAAGGTTAAAAACAAGTGAGAACTTGTAGTATCGTCGAAATTTTTTAAATTAATTATTTCAACTTTCGAATTTTATATTAAACTATGAAAAGTAGTTCCTCGTGATTTGAAAGTACATATATATTTTATTATAATATAGGTTTTTATATATTTTATATTTATTAGTTTATTTAATGCGTTACGTTAAGAAAAGAAACATGATTCAAACGCCCTCAGTATAGTAGTATATCGGATTATGGCTTCATAGAAAATTATTGAGTTAAGTGGAACATATTGAATCCTATTAAAGATAAGGAAACATTGTGCGATAGAATAAGAAATTGTCGTTCAAATATCTTATTTTATACTATTAATATCAACATGAAAAATAAGTATACTAATAAATATTCGTATAATTTTTAAATGAAGATGAAAATGTATACTCATTGTAGTTACACGAATAAATATTTAAATATGAAACACTAAACTAGGTTTCCTGGATAAGATCCCATTCATGCCGTCCCGCTTCAACTGCCACGATAACAACCGTTAGGAATAGTATTGCATTTCAGCTGCACACACACATATACAAGTATCTCCAAACGCACACATACCAGGTGGCAATACACACACACACACATGCAAACCACGATCATTCGCGACCAGCCTATATATAAAAAACTAGTCACAAAATTGTTCTGTCTCCCAGAGTCTCAGCCGCTGTATTTTTATGAAGAAGCACAATTATGATGTAAAACAACGAGATATAAACTTTGGAGATATAAATTGGCAATCATTGTGAAGGGATTTCAAAGATTGGTCGGAGTTGTTTATCGCTGTCTCGTCAAAACGTTTAGATTGCGGTGCCAAAATTAATGCTCACTCATACATCGTATTAAGTCTACAAATATAAATATAACATCAACTATTAATCATATACATATAATAAATGTAACAAAAATATTTACCTCATCGAAGTTGTCAACCATGAAACAGATGTGAGGGTAAGTCATCTCCTCGCCTTCCCCCTTCGTGTCCATTTTACGTCGGCTCGGGGAAGCGTATACCTGCGCAGAAAAAAATATATAATAGCACACACACATGTTAACGTAGTAAGGTTTAAAGAGATCATTAAAAATGGAGTCACTAAAGTTTGTCCGTATGAAAAAAGTCCTTGTTAAAATGCGCAGTACATCATTAATTAGCTTCACCCGTGCGATTTATTACACTACAGAGCAAAACTCTGCCAAGGAGTCAACGACTGCTAGCGTTCAACGCGAACAGGTTTGTATTACAATCAAAATATATTTGTTATAAATACTTTTACTTCGAAGAAAACGTACGCTCATTCCGCTGTTGAATATAAAAAATTGTGTTGAAATTCGCATAAAAATTAATGATTTAGTATCCGCACTCAACACTGAAGTAGGTAATGGAAATTAATCGTTTTCCTTGTAAACATTTTAAAAGGCAAGAAACACGAATAAGAACCAATGGAGCGCTCTATTTTACATGTTAAAAAACACAAGGTTTTTTTTAGTTCCGATTGGAATTTACATTTTAAAATAACGTTTCATAGTAACAATATTCTCAGCGCTCACACAGCCTCAATAGAATCCCTTTATGAGGAATAAAAGATTAAATCGAGGATTGAATTAGTAGTGACATTGACGAACACTGTTCCCACGTTTGTTTTTTTTAGCAACAAATCGACCTTGACATAAGGACGGCGAGACGTGACATCACAAAAAGATTTCCACAACCCATAAACGAGGCACAGGAATTTGGAAAAAAACCTGCAGAGTCAGTAGACTTTACAACAAATTTATGTGCACTACGAAAAAATACTCAAAATATATTTAAGTTTGATAATAATTAAAGTGATTGTGATAATCCAATTATAATCTAACATTTTTATTACAAGGACAATATTTTTGATAAGATTCGTTATTTTTATAGAGTAAATAGACAATAACAATCACGTGATAAGTGTGGAGGAAAGATTTCCGTTATTTAGGCTTGTACATAAGTTGTAACTGCATGCTCGAACCAAATTTTGCATTACCATAAAACAGTTTACAAGACTACTCGGTACATTATGGTGTTAACGTAAATTATTGCTTGAGAAACCTCTGTACTAATAGCAAAACCTCTGTACTAAATACACGTACTTTCGCTTATAGAAAACAGCATTGTTTTAAGTACCCTAACTCCTCTGTTAGATAATTTTTCATTTAATGATTTAAACTTTTATTAATGATGGCCTTGTAACATTCGCCCAATTTCTTAAAATGACAAGCTTGAATGTGCCATACTAATTATGTACTAGAATTAATATCAAGTTAAATTCAGAAAATTACATTATTGAGATACATTTAATGAAAACTATTGATAAATCTCTCGTAAGAAAATTATAATTCTAGAAGCGAATGCATTCATAACATTTCAAAAGGGTTTGCGAGCCGTTATACAATAGGATGATATTTGACCTTGACCGCGGTCTGGCTGACTCCTACCGTTTAGGATATATATATATAATTTTAATTATTTAGTGGTTTCGTATAGGTAATAAAAATACATATGGTTAAATCTGGTATTGTAACCACTCACAGCCATCCAAGTAACATTAAACCAATCTCAAATCCTTTTTTTAATAACGCATGCAGATCTAACCCATATTAACTAAGCATAAGCGTTATAATAGTGTGTATATTTTGATCTTGTTTGCAGCTCAAGTGACGATATGTACACAAGTAAAACTACAACAATCACATTACGTACATACGAAACCGTGAAACAGTTACGAGTCTAGACGTTCTATGATAAATAAAACACAACACAAGAGTCGTTACAATTCAATTATGGCATGGCTTCTTCATTTGTTGAGTTAAATCGCCGTATGCACCGCAAATTGCCTGCTATTTCTTAGAAAAACTAACCTTGTATGGTAAACAATGTGAGGTTATAAATAAAAATAAAAAAAATACTTTTCAATGGGATTGTCACACATTTTACCGTCTGATAGAATTCATTTGTATGTCACGCTTGATTTAAAAATAAATCAATATACAGATGTCTTTTTAATCGCATAAACACTATATTATTTATAAAAAGCGACACAGTTACGACCTTCTACTACATACTAATACATATAAATAGAATTAATGTTAATTTATAAATTGTTGTATATCTATATAATATACTACACCTATTACAGAGCTAACGTTTTGAGACAATCTTAAGTTATTTTAATTAAATAAAATTTAGACGCATTACTTTATAATTATTTTACAAAAATGTGGGTAGTACAAAATATCACAGTAGTCTAGAACGACAATCTTTTATGAAAATATATATTTTTTTGTGTTACCTACGTATGTATGTCTCATTTAAGTAGCCAACTAATTAAGCTATTTAATCTTATATGTCCATAGCAGACCTTACAGATAAGAACTAAGATCATACCTAACTCCCCAAGGTCAAAGCTAGATCCGCTATAAAAAACCAAACAGGCAAATATTAACGACATTTATATGATAAGTTTATAAACACGTAAAACAAAGAATTAATATAAAAACTAGAGATCACGATTTAATTTTCCACTCCGTAAGCCGACAGCTGCTAGGGACGCTTTAACGTTCAATTGAAAGTCTCCTGCGAAATACACCCTCTTTATACAGACTGCATGACAATCAAACATAATACAAAGATTTTTCAATAAACAATCATTTTAAACTTCTTTTTATTCCTATTAGTTAGCTATAAGCTGAACACGAAATTCCATCTGCAAACAGCCTACGTTTCCAGGTTTTCATTAATAAAATATCCCATATTAAGGTAGATTACTAAATGAGAATCAGGGAAACGATTCGTTTGTTGTTCGTTGTAAACCTGTGATATAAGCATACTGTTTTCATAATAACCCAAAAAAGTAATTGATTATATTTACAACATGATTCTTAATTTGTCAACTTTGAAGTTAAATTAATATAATAAACCGGTTTACTAGTGATTCATAGTTGAATAATTTCTACGACATTCTAGAACGTAATACACTGCATAACACAATATAAATACTTTATTGGAGACTAATATGATTTGACCTCTGTGTCGCTATTACTAATACTGTGATGTATTTCAATGATGAATAATAAAAATAACTAATCTGTATCAAATGGGTCCTGACTGCGAGGACGCTATACGGTGTGGGTTTAAGGAACCCAACCGTTACGTACAACAAATAAGTCTATTAAACACATTAAATCTTCCATAACAAACATCCGTCAATTAAAATTCCAACAGCGCTCTTACAATTACTGTACTGTAAAATATTGCTCACTTATTACAATGTCCTCAAGAGGACAAACAATCCTTACAGTTCCGTAATATTTATTCTCATTTTAAATAAAACTTGCAAGAAATATACAAATACATACATTTATATACATACTACAATGGCATTGTTTAACTGTCCCACATTGAAAGTGCAGTGAACGCGTGCTGCGATCAATTATTGTTAGTGAGTAGTAAGTTTATCACGAGAAAAACAATAATGAGCTACAAAGTTCACTGGTATCACACTGTAATACATAAACAGTTTATATCTAGATATTTAATAGATTCGCTTAAGATGAAGTATCGTCTTTGGAATTCCTCAAATGTTGTACTATAAAATATGTAATTATTCGGAATGTTTAGTTGATAGACAGGTTCGAGAATTAATATTGTGGTAGGGGCGTCGGCAAGCCTCGGTGCACGTGTACCGGGTCGTCCGGTGCTCCGGCACCAACGCTTGCCGACTCCCCGCCGAGGGGGAGCCGGTCTGTGACGTCACTCGCGTAATCATTTCATTGAGCCGAGTATGGGCGGACGGAGCCGACGGCACACGATCCGCTCCGCCGCCACACTGAAGCCGAGCTGCGATCAGTGTTATATCGTTTCTAGTACGCGACTGCCACTTTCCGAGTTGTTCCGCTGACGCCTTTTAGTCACGTAAAATTATATTCCCAAAGAGATCGAGGCCGCGATCCGGTGCGCAGTGTAACAGTGGTGTGTCGGTTGGGTGATACAAACCTGGTAGATAACTTCACGCATGCCTAAAGTGTGATGTTTGAGACAGTGTATTGTTGCGACCTCATTTACCCCTGAATTCGCCGGACGCAAGCTGCTCAGGCTTTCTATCGGTTGTATGAAACGAGCGACACTGACTACTACTGAATCGATGAGAAGACGCGCTCCGACGGAATGACAGCTTGCACATTGATCGAGTGAGTCCCGATAGTTTAAGTCTTAGTTGTTACATCCAAAGTTAAGAATATAACGCGCAAAAACGCTCCATAATTCAATATATTATTGTGTTTTGCGAATGCATCTGGGTGGCCACGAGCTCGACGCCAGCGAGAAGAAACCGCCGACCCGGGCGACAGTCATGCGACAAATAACGAACGTTAATTAGCTAATGACACAAAAGAGAGCGCCCTCCGTCCGCCCCTCGTGCTTTGTGACCGTGGATATGAAGTTATTTACTGTACCGTCTCTCAAATACATCTCTATTTGTTTGTTTACGCATTCAAAATATCACAATCGACAGTAAACGTTTTAGGCACACCCAAAACGTATATATGTTTTAGTAATCACAAATGAGCTTAATATTCTAGAATCATAACAAGTTATAAACATACTGAAACCGGTATTCCTTTCTGTACACGAGAATATACTCTTACGTCTCTCGTAAATCTAAAACCAGATCCGTGTTTATGCTCAGATAAGACAACGTACAGCGATAAAAAAATATATTTTTGTTGTTTAAAAATGGATATATACTTTAAATTGCTCGTGAACCTATCAATAAATTCTTTATATATGACATTTATATAATATAAACACTATTTAATTCCAGGCGCAATTCAATCCAATGGTGATTGGATGACGATCTCAGCACGCTCCCCGGATAAGGAGCCGTCGCCACCCAAGCAGATCAACTTCGCTGAGCCGCTGGTTGAGTCCGTGCGTGTGTACCTTGTCAATGAGCTGCCTACAAAGCAGCTAGCGTTGGTGCAACGCGCACCGTCGCCCACCACACCGTCCCCACCACCATCACCACGCTGCTATGTGGACATAACAACCTCCACAGAGCGTGAGGATATCAAAGGGATTAACTTCGAGGCACGACTCAAACGTAATGACCTAAATAACAACGCATCCCGTCGCAGAAACGATAGGACAGAGATGCCCAGTCAAGCTGAACTAATGCAGCGACAGCCGTTGCTGGCGAGGGCCGTCAAAGCTGACGCGCCACAAGCCACCACAGATGAATCGGATCCGGATCAAGATCATTCACCTCAACGCACTCACGCAGGAAACTTTATGGTAGAAATACCCGCGGGAACAGTGAGGGAAGAAAGGTATCCAAAGGAAATATGGAAGACAATACTATCATTCTTCTTCTTATTTTTATGTGTCTGCATAAATATGATGTCGCTATCACTGGTACATGAACGTCTTCCGGACCGAAATACGACGCCGCCTTTGAATGATATCATACTAGACAATGTAACAGCACAAGACTGGGGTTTAGCTGTGTCAGAATATCTGATCATGATCTCAACGACAGTAGCCATGATTGTGGTTGTATTTCACAAGCACCGATTCATCGTAGCTCGTCGCCTCTTCTTCATTATTGGCCTATTATACTTGTACAGATCCGTCACCATGTTTGTGACCGTGCTGCCTGTATCAAGTAAGACATACTTCTGCAGTCCGAAGAGCAATTCTACAACACCTCTTCTCGTTATAAAAAGAATGTTTTATTTAATATCTGGTTTCGGACTATCGATCAATGGGAAGCACACATATTGTGGAGATTATATATACTCCGGACACACTATGGTTTTAGTGCTGAGTTACCTAATCGTAGCAGAATATTCTCCAAAAAAATTATGGCCGGTGCATTGGGCTATGTGGGGTTCGGCTATTCTCGGCGTATCATTTGTGTTATTGGCACATGGGCATTACACAGTGGATGTTGTGATAGCATACTATATAACAACAAGATTATTCTGGACGTTCCACTCACTACTCGTCACGCCACATCGAAGCGGCAACGGCTACAACCATTACATGATACAGCGAGAATGGTGGTACTGGCTTTTCACCTACCTGGAGCGGAACGTGCGGGGGCCGGTGCCGCGACGCTACGACTGGCCGCTGCCCTGGCCGCGCACCAAGCTGTTCAGTAGACTCAGCTAGTGACAAGCCCGCCCGCCGCCGAATTCCCCGCCACCGGAGCGGGTATGACGCTCACCTTCTGAGAGTGCCGCTTCAGCACCTGCAGCTCCTTGGGGCTGGTGCGGGTGCAGATGGCCAGCGTGAGCGTATAGTCGAACTGGTGCACGATCAGGTTCAGATAGACGGTCTCCTCCCAATCGATCTCCGGGTCTCCGATGGGCAGCTTCTTGGAGTCCTTCCGAAACACCTCCACGTCCGTCTGCGAACGAAGAGACCGGCCGAGCGGCGGGTGAGTCGATAAATCTCGTTGCGACGAATCGTGGTACGAGCCGAGTACCGCATTGTGACAATGTGATAGCCTCCTGAGGGCCCGATCTAGTTCCCTAACAGTAACTTTTTTCTTAACCAGCGACCTCGTAGGCTTTTAATGTTAAATAGGTTAAGATATGGTTTTTATTTGACAAAGAACAATAATTAATCGATCAATTATGTACTATCAACTATTGTAAAGATTTTGTTTTGTAAATTGTATATTTTATAAGTGGTTATTGATCTATCTCGAGTCTAACAAATATCATAATATTTATAAACAAAAATGTACTGTGATTAGTTGGATGCGTGGTGAGTGTGAGTTTCTGTGTGGGTCTGAAGTCTGAACAAATGTATTGGTTGCGACTTTCACCTCAACATAATGCATAATAATATGTGTGTAATAGCTGCCTATTGTAAGAAAACATATTTTTATATCTTTCAAATAAAGTACATAACTGTTGTTTCTGAAGGCTTGTATTTCCAAAGATTTTCCTGATTGATATACTAAATAAAGCATCTATAATCCAAATGGTGCTAACTCGAAATCTTTTACTTTAGAAATTCACCATACCCGTGTTAATGAATAATTCTTTGATAAATACTACAAATATTTGTATTGCAATAAACTGGAAATACTGCACAAACAATATAGAAAGTATTTTTATAAAAAATATATTTATTACTGAAGAAAATTAAAATTGTATAGAGTATCTCTTGATCTGATGTTAAGATCTTGTACCTTGTATAAACTCTGTTTGTCATATGTACCTCTGTTATATGTTATTTAATGTTCTTATGTGACATCCAGTCTATAAAATTTTAGATTTGTACCACATATATTTTTTTCTTAAATGCCAAGTAAAAGATAGCAATTAAATTTACTAACAAATGTCATAAAAATAACGAAGCCTGTAGCATATTGGATATTTTTGTGATAAGTATTTTATTATTGATTTATCTGTTTGTAAATGGAAAAAAATTGTCCCAAAATATTTTTCATATGATTGTAAAGGGCTCAAAGCTTACCTCGTATTTAGGTAAATAACGCGACGAGCCTTTGACGTGACGCTTACGAACAAAGAACAGTAGATCATCACAGTCGATGGATTGCTCTTCTTGGAATAGGAAATGCCTCACGAAAAGATCTGTCCAATAAGTAGTCCCTTGAAGCACCACGAACCCGGAATCTGTAACATAGCTCGTTAACACATACATTGGCAGATCTTTTTTTATAATTAAAGTGATACAAATATGCTCTTATAAAATATTTAGTTGACCTTGATTCTAGGAATTTTAGGTCTATTAATTATAAGCCTTGTGCCTTCGACAAAAAATTAAAACCTTAACGTTCATAAAAACTATAATTAATCAATGCAAAATGTCTTAATAATAGTAGAATGTACTCATAGGTATTTTAGTGAACTTATTAATGTTATATGTTAAAGGAATAGCACTATTTATCAAAAATGTTTTTAAATGATATTTAGTGAGGCCCAGGTTAACTAAAGACTCTTAATGGGTCTTTTTCCCTAAATCGGGTTTTTTATTTTAAGTCAGGTATGTTCTCGAAGATTGCAAGGGCTTAATAAGCTGAAGATATCAATTCGAAGTACAATGGTTTTTTTATTTTAATTTGTATAATTGCCATGATATTTTCACATTTAACAATGTAAGAGGTTGCAAATTAAAGAATTTATTATGTTGATTATGTACATATATATTAATTGTAATTTATTATTCTTTTTTGTTAATCTTATACTTAATGCACTAGAACAATGGGTTTTTTGTATGATAAAAGAAGTAGTACTTTTAACATTTCTTATATTTGTCTGAAACCTTTAAATGTTCAAATCATTTCAACAGGCTAAGTTGTTTTTGTACTTTCTTAATGTATTTGTGCACTGAGGGCAGATGAATTGTTTTGTATACTATTTATAATAAGCTAAATCCTGAAAGTTGTTACTCGGGCCCTTCAGTGGGCCTGAATTGAATCCACATTCCAAAACAGCGATTGATTTGATACGAAATGAAATTGTAAGCCGGCCAAAAAAAAAACTTTTATATTCGAGGGGTTCCGAATATCAACGGATTAAATAAATGTAATATTTTGTTTTTAATATTATATATATATTTTGTAAGTACAACTGTGTTCAGGATCTAAGCGTTTCGGAATCCCGTGTGTGAACATTGATAGAGTTGTATGTCTGTATGTGGATATATAACTAATTGTTTATACCATTGCTGTTGTTTCAAAGTTCAATAAATGTTTTTAATATAAATTGCTTTTCTTACACAAAATATTACTAATGAAGCCGTCATTATTATTTATCATCCGCATAATATAAAAATAAAAGAATAAACAACAAATCAAGGAACTACTGAATATATTTTTATAATTTCAACAAAATTAAAATTAATAAGTAACTTATTTTGCATATTCCTTAAGTTACATATGTATAAAGATGCTTGAAGTTTACTAAGTTATAGATAGTTTATTTGATTTTAAAATTTTGACACATTTCAGGAAAATTACGATTGACATATAATTCAGTTACACAAATTAAAGTCTTAAGAAATTTAAGAAATAAATTTTTAGTAATGACTGCTTTCAAGTCTCTTGAAGCAAATCACAACTATATGTTCTACCAAACCCAGAATATTTATACAAAAAATATGTAAATTGACACTGTAAAACCTGGATCATTAAATTTTGTATTATTATAAATAATAATTTGATTAACAGATCCATTGAATTTATTTCTTATTTGATAGGAATCAAGTTACGGTAGTAAACTGAAATAGTATAAATCTTTACACAACAATAACAATACAATTGGTTACTTAAAACTATCAAAAGCAACATATTAAGTATTACTGAACAATACCTAACAAGCATAAGTTATACACAACAATTTAATTATGTGACTAAAGAACTGAGTAAAATATATTTTTACAACGATGAAGTTATTATGCTTATAAACCAACTTGACTTACATCTCCATTAATCGCGAGCGCGTGCGCTTAGTGAGCGGTCGTGTCATTGCTTTAAAAATGGCGTCGACTTCGAAAGTTATTAAATGTAATAGTTGTAATATTGTAATATGTGAAGTGTTGGCGTACATCCAAAATAAGATGGATGTAATGGACGAAGAGAGTCTAGTGAGATTGTGTGTGACTAGCTTCTCAGAAGAGGATGTTGAAGCGGCGAAAGGTTTATTATACGAGTCGATTACGACAAATAGGCGTAAAATCTCCAGAAAAAGAGAAGGGAAGTCGCAGAGAGATCTATCTGATATAATAACGCTGCTTAAAGAAACCGATCCAGAAGAAGTACCGGTATTCGTTGCGCGGGAGTTGCATAAGTTGCCGCCGATAACGTTCGACCATTTGGATGCAAGTAAACTGCTAAAGGATATGTTAGTTCTACAAAATGAGTTAAAAATAATAAAGGAAAGCTATGTAACTAACGAGCAATTTGAGGAATTAAAATCATTGTATAATAATAACACAGGAGGTACCCCGAGAAATAGGTTTCCTGACCTACCGCAGAACATAGAACGCACGCCCGTGGAGGCCAACACCGCGGTTTCGACACAACGGCTGCGTCAGGAATGCGTGGATGTCTCTGAGCGAGCTGAGCAGCGGGTGATTGGCGATAGCGGATCCGAGCTGAAGCGCAAGGGAGAGGAGAATGAATGGAAAATTGTAAGGAAGCGGAAACATAGGTATAAATTTGCTGGGAGCCAGGGAAAGGCGGCCTTGGAGGCGGATGCAAAATTTAAAGCGGCAGAAATTATGACGCCATTATTTGTTTCTGGAGTCGATAAAGAAGTGATGGAGAGTGATATCACTAAATATATACTGTCCAGGACGCAAATATCAGTTACCGTAAAGAAAATAATAATGAAAAAAAATAGAAACTACAATGCATTTAAAATATTTGTACCACACAACAAGATCGCTTTATTCTTAAATGATAATTTATGGCCCGAAGGAATATCGTTTAGGCGCTTTATTTACATAAATAGAGATGCATATCGACCTGATAACAATAGGAAAGGTGAATTTACTCAAGGACATAATGGACAATAATGAAACTAATAATAATAAAACCAAGTCAAACTTTATAAGCTTTAACTGTAAATCCATCAAGAGATCAATTGACTGTGTTAGAAAACTGTGCAGATTGGCGGATATCGTAGCATTACAAGAGACCTGGCTTTTTCCCCACGATATACCGCTATTGGGAACGATCGACGAGGAGTTCGCGTATACCGGGACGTCAGCAGTCGACACTTCGGCTGGTATATTCCGAGGGCGACCTTTCGGCGGCGTAGCTGTATTGTGGCGAAAAAGTGTTTTCAAAGATGTATCTGTGATTAAGTGCAATAGTCCGCGGTTAAGTGCAATAAGAGTCTCAATAAATAACCGTTCTCTTTTAGTGTTTAGTGTATATATGCCCACTGATGCATTGCATAATTTAGAGGATTTTACAGCGTGTTTTGGTGAGGTATGTGCCATAGTTAATAATACTTCTGTAGAGGCCGTTTATATGTTAGGTGATTTTAATGCGCATCCGGGGGAAGTATTCTATAATGAGTTGTCTAACTTGTGTGCGGATCAACAATGGTCTTGTGTTGATATGGATGTATTGGGAATAAATTCTAATAATTATACTTTTATTAGTGATGCGCAGGGATGTACTAGGTGGCTTGATCACTGTGTTGTTAGCTACTCGGCGAGACAAACTGTTACCAATGTCTATATAAAATATGACACATATTGGTCTGACCATCTACCCTTAGTTATTGAGTGCCAACTTAATATGATAACTGAGAAAACTAATTTAAGGATAAATAATAAGCAAAACAAAGCTATTTGGGGCTATAGAACTAATGAGCAAATAGAAAGTTATAGTAAAATGTGTAACTCTAAACTAAAATTAATAGATTTTCCGTCTGAACTTAGACAATGTAGTTATAATTGTTGTAAATATAATAAACATAAATTTGTAATAGATAATTTGTATAAAAAGATTACGTTAGTGTTAACTGATTCGGCTATCAAGTCGAGTACAATTAATGAGCGCCGCCGTCGTAACAAAAATATCAAACATGGGAGTGGCTGGAATAAATATGTGTATGACGCGCACAGGGAGGCGAGGCTTAAATTCTTATGTTGGGTTTCCCACAATAAACCTCAATCTGGTATCATATATGACGAGATGAGGGAAAGTCGTAAAGTATTTAAGAACAAATTAAAGTGGTGTCAAAACAATAAAGAACAGATAGAAAAAGATTTAATTACGGAACATCATGCTTCTAATAGATTCTCGGAATTTTGGAAAGCTACGGGTAAATTAAACCAAAAGTCGAGCCTCCCTGTAAGCGTGGGAGGTGTAAGTGACACCAAACATATTGCCGAATTGTTTAAGGAACATTTCACTGTGAAATCGCCGCGCGGTCCCTCGACTAAAAATTCTGAGGCCGTCATGACCGGTGACATGTATCTTGTTACAGGTAAACAAATTCGTAGAATAGTTAGTAAAATGTCCAGGGGTAAGTCACCGGGGCATGACGGGCTCAGTATTGAACATTTAAAATACGCGGGAGTGCATCTACCGCGTGTGTTGGCTATGTTCTTTAACATATGTTTGAGTCACTCGTACTTGCCGGATGATCTTATAAAATCGATTACGGTACCGATTGTTAAAAACAAAACGGGTGATTTGTCAGATAAACATAACTATAGGCCGATATCCTTAGCAACGGTAGTGGCGAAGGTGTTGGACAGTGTGCTTGACGAGGAGCTGGATAAGCATCTCAATATTCATGACGCGCAGTTTGGCTACAGAGCTGGACTCTCGACTGAAAGCGCTATTTTGAGTGTGAAGCACACTGTACGATACTATGCGAAGAGAAGTACACCTGTCTACGCTTGCTTCCTTGATTTATCCAGGGCGTTTGATCTGGTATCCTATGATGTCTTATGGGATAAGCTGGCAAAGACAGGGGTGCATACACAGGTGCAACACCTGTTTCAATACTGGTACCGTAATCAAAACAATTGTGTTAGATGGGCGGACAGTTGTTCCGAATCGTACAGGCTGGAGTGCGGGGTGAGGCAGGGTGGGCTGACCTCTCCAAAGCTATTCAATCTCTATGTCAATGAGCTCATAGTTGGGCTCAGCAGTACTCGTGTCGGATGTCGGATTGATGACGTTTGTATGAACAATTTTAGTTACGCCGATGACATGGTTCTGCTGACCCCATCTGTTAGCGCAATGAGACAATTACTTACTATATGTGAAAAGTACAGTCGCGATCACGGGCTGCTGTATAATTGTCAAAAAAGTGAATACTTGGTCTTCGGGGCCGCTGGTAAATATCCGTCCATAGTGCCCGCCATGAAGCTGAATGGTACTGAATTAAAACGGGTGAAACAGTTTAAATACCTGGGTCACTATGTTACTGAGGGACTAGACGACCAAGTAGACATAGAGAGGGAACGCAGAGCGCTGGCGGTTAGGAGTAATATGTTGACCCGCAGGTTTGCACGTTGTAGCGCTAAAGTCAAAATAACGTTGTTTAAAGCTTACTGCCAGACACTATACACGTGCAGCCTGTGGTTCAATCATACTCAGAGATCGCTTAGTGCTCTGCGTGTCCAATATAATAATGGCTTCAGGATGCTGTTGGGGCTGCCTCGGTTCTGTAGCGCCTCAGGTATGTTTACAAATGAAAGAACTGATGGATTTCAAGCCATCATACGCAAGAGGCTAGCTTCATCTATAAGCAGGTTGCGGGGCAGCTCTAATAGCATTCTGCGAGTAATTGCCGACAGGTACGACTCAGATATTCTGAAGACCTACCTGCGTGCCCATGTGTGATGATGCTGTGTCGTTATTTTGTATTATTTATTTATTTATTTTTAATGTACTTATTTTATCTTAATTTATTTTCTATTACTTTTTTTTTTTGTACCCTATGGACTATGTGTTCGAAATAAAGATTTATTATTATTATTATTATTATTAAAACAGGATCACAACTTGTGTAAAGACAGACATTATATATGTTAATTACTTCTATATATGTATAAATAAACTAATTACATACATAAATTTATATTCAATATAATGTAAAATTTTATGATATTCATTAAAATTATAAGGAAATCCATATATAATTATTATTTTCGTCATTGCAACATTTCCTAGTAGAAACCAAACTGGATTTATATTTACCCCATAACCATAAATGTATTCTGAGATTTTATGTTCTTTTTCTGTTACAACTTTTGATATTGCATTAGAGATGAACTCAGTGGTGGCCTAGTAGTTAAAAGACCCACCTCTCATGCATGAGAGCGCGAGTTTGATCCTGGCAAGTACCAATGTGACTTTTTCGAGTCATATGTACTTTCTGAGAGTATTTAGACACCACTGACAGCCAGTGAAGGAAAACATCGTGAGGAAACCTGAACTTACAATTTCACAATTATAAGTTTTAAAATCACCAACCCGTTTTGAGCAAGTGTGGTGATTAATGCATTCCAAAAGGGGTTCATGACAGGAAGGCGGCCGGTCGTAAAAACAATTAACAAAAACTATTTACAACATGTAAGGCAGACCCTGACTAAAGCTGGAAAATTGCCAGGAAGAAGAAGAAGATATTGCATTATCAATGCACACATATTTATACATTTGGTTTATTGTTTTCTTTCGTCGTAAAAACGTATTTTAATAAAATAAATGGGTAAAGACTTAATCTAACTAAAGTACCCCTTCACTCATGATCCCTTTTTTCCTTTTTTTTATTTGGACTATGAATAAGTGAATGTCTTTTAAAACAAATTGGAACAAAACATTTTTCGCTTACCAGATTTTTCAGGTCACTGAAAATTTACTATGAATACTAGCACTAACACTGTATGTAAATCCATTTTATACTTCAATTTGTTGAGAATAAAATGGAGGTAAAGTAACAACCATTATGGCTTGCAAATTTTCAAGTCGGCTTTCCTAAAATAATTGTGAAAAGAAATCGAATTATTCATTAGTTTAAATACTTGGGATTTAATTTTAAAAAATTGAGAAAATCAGTTTCTAAAATACTAAAAATCCATCATTAGATTTAACCTTTTTTTAGGAAAGTTAATTAAGCCTGTGCGGCACAAATAAAGATGGTGTGAATTAAGAATTTACAAATTATGCTTCATTACACATAAGAGACTATGATATAGCAAAATAAACTGCAACAGAACTAATGCTGGTGTGACATTCTAAGTAGTTGTTAAACATGAAAGTGATAAAGAAGAGAAAGAGAATATGTCAGGTTGTAATGTTTTGTTGCTAAAGAGAAAATAGAATTAAGAAGGATAAAGACATGCAACATAATTTTTTTAAATTTCCTATAAAGATCGAAATGAAGGTAAAACAAAATTCATTTATATATATATATATATATATATATATATATATATATATATATATATATATATATATATATATATATATATATATATTAATGAATTTTCTTAATGCAAGTTCTTTAATATTACACATTAACATATTTCATTGATATCATTTAAAACTTCAGCTTGAAACTAAGTTTTACTTAATAAGTAGGTTAAGGACTGGTTGATTTTAAAAACATTATATTTCCTAAGGATAAATAGGGAGTGACATAAATAATTTATGGAAACCTTTTGAAAGATTCATTACTGACTTTATTAAGAATTAACAAACATCTTCTATGATTTATTTTATAAGTCAGATTTGTAATTTTTTTACTTAGTGTTTTATTAAAAAATTTCTACTATAAAAGGTATGAAAATAATGTGTATGAGGTAAAGATAAGGTGAGGTTTGGATGTGAGATCCATCCTATTTTGGCTATTAAAATTTGAAAACCAATTATTTCACTAATTTCTTTCAGCCATTGAGCTTATCTAAAAAAATTAAGAAATGTTTACTTTTTTGAATACATATTTTTAAAACCCAAATGAAGCCATGTTATTCAGAGTTTTATTTTTTCATCTTATCTGTTCTGACTTTCTGATATCAAATACAATGTTACAAAAAAATTGATCAGCTTTCAGAGATGAATTGGGAAATTTATGTTTGTAGGATTTTAGTAGCCACAATTTTTGTTTTTGTACTTAAATCTTTTTTATACTATATGCAAAGCAATATACAAAATGAAAAAGTATTAAATAAAAATAAAAATACTTTCTCTTGTTATCTGTACAAACATATAGTGTCAGCTTTGTGGCTGACATTGTCACTAAAATAATAGGCTAGGTATGTTAGGTTGAGCCTAACAAAACTGCCTAGTGCAAATAAGGCTTTGATTTTATGAGCAATATCAGAAAAAAAATAAAGTATTTTTAATGTCTTTTAGATGGAAAGTTTTTTTGTATTTTTATGTGATCTTTTGAGATCATCAATAGGCTAAAATAGGATTTTATCATTATACTAAGGCTATCACTACATATATAGTTTATGTTTGAATTGTTAACACAAATGAATTCACTGTTTGTGTATAAATTTTATAAAATATACATGATTATCTGAATTCGAACTTCTATGCATTATGTTGTCATTTTTGATTGGTACTCTCTAGCTGTTTTCATTAAAAGCCTTTAGAAATAATTGAATTAACAAGTGTTATGACAACATTTTTTTAATGTTATTGGTTGAGATTTCATAATTTTGTAGTGTATTTGTTTTCAATATGATTAAACAAAAAAAAAATTGAATTTCTGACTAATCTTTTCCACCTTCGGTCCCAGCTTTTTAATTTTTTTTTATATATATTTAATATAAAAATTTTCAGTGTTACAGCATTGGTTAAACATTAGCAAAAAAGAGCAACTCAGTTTTCTTAAAACTTTTTAATTTATATATTAATGTTACTATATTATGAAAACTCTTACTTTTTTCCAGTAGACTGTAAGACTTTCTTTAATATTAACAATATTACTGAGAAGAGACAAAACGTTTATGAAAACAACACAAATATCGGAAGTTTTTAGAAAAGATGTGAACAACTTACCATCCTTCATCAACTGACGCATTTCCTTCGTGCGCTGGAAATTAATCTCCTCCAATAATTGTTCCAGCATAGTGGCGTTCTGCAAGAATGTAGAACCGCCCAGAGCCATGATTAATTTAAATACAAAAAATCCCCGCGAAACGATTTACTCAAACAGTTCATATGTCAACACATTAAAAGTCAAATTCTAATTGGTATTCTACACCCACCGAGACAAATAAATAGTGAGTATCAAGTATTATACATTTATAGTTCAATAACAACATTCATTATAAATAATATAAGATAATAATCATATGATATAAATAAATTTTGATGTGCAATTGAAAACGAAACCGAAATTGATTTATCTGTCAATCAGTTAAACAATACTTAGTGACCATTGACTGACATTTTCTTTTTGTAAATGTTTTTACGGCTCTGGATGCGAGTCCTTTTGAGCCCATTGACTGACTTTAGCTGTAATGTTGTCTTATAAAAGACTTAATAGTTTTTCATAAAATATTGTATTTAATGTGATAAACGTGATTGAAGAAAATATAGCGTTAAAAATTACTCTAGTTGGAAAATATTATTACTTGAAAATGAAAAATATTTCGGAGTTGCTACTTTGAGATATTATATTATGTAATACTATGTTGTTCTATTAAAACAGTATAAATTTTAGAATTTCATGTATAATAATTTTCATAAAATAAACTGGTTACTAAAACATGAAACAGCTGACAAGCAACAACAAATTAAGTCGTCCTATATGACTGTCAAACCGTTTCTATGTTACATTGTCAAAGTCTAAAACATCACCTCTCATAATGCTGCTGTAAGAATTCTGTGATAGTAATTATCAAAACAAAAAAATGACGAAACCTTTAAAATGGTTATAAAATCCATTCGGCCCTGTGTTTCACACTCCAAGTACAATATATTTTCCTAAACTTGGTGATGCTATTTCCATTATGTCTATTCGGTACTCAGTGATTGCAGCGTTTCGTGTATCCTCTGGTCGCTTAGCGGTGGTACCATTACGGCGATGTGTGTCCAAGAGTCTTAGCACTCCGTTAGCGCATCACTCACCCAATCGTCCCCGTTATGCTTTCAGTGCTGCAGCTGTAGGTTTAGCACTTGTTGCTGCGGATTATGTTTTCAATGGTATGTACATTGTATTATTGCGATTCTGTAATTGAAGTTATGGTTATCAAGATTAGCACATATCAAACATATACTATCACCATCTATAGTTTTGAGTGATATTTTTGATATAAAATAATAATTTTGTTACAGAAAGAAATTTTTTTAAAGCCGCTAAAGTTGGAAATGTTCAAGAACTTCGCAAGTATGTATAATTTAGCTTACAATATTATTACTTATTCATATTATTAAAATTAATAGCAGTTTATTACTTCCCAATTAAATGTAATTATGACACCAGAAGATCAACTTTGCTACAAAAGTATGAAATAGAATAAGGTCCGATTAGATCATATTATTTGTAAACTATATTTGTGTCTGATATTATATTCTGTATTTGACCTTTTTTTTTTGTAATAAATAGTGATAAATGAATAGTGATCTGATTTATTTTAAGAAAATATGCCTACTGCCTACTTCAAGACAATTTGTATTTCTTCTAGGCAATGATCTAAATATGAAATGAGAGATAACCAAGGTAGAAAACATTAAATTCAATCACATCATGATTGGTTAGGAGAGCAAAAATTTACAAAATACATGCATATAATAATGAGTAGATACAATTGAAAACAAAAATTTTCTTAACAACTTAGTGACAAATATCTAACTATAATCTGAGAACAGATATTCTATGTGTATTGTATTAATTTTCAGGCAATTAGAAGGAGCTCGTGATGACAGACAAAACTCTGGCGGTGGGGGTGGTGAGGGGGGAGCCGCTAACCGGCGTCATTCGCTCGGCTGGACCGCGCTCATGGTCGCCGCCGCCAACGACCAACCGGCCGCCGTCCGCGAGCTGCTGAGACTCGGAGCGCGACCGGACATGCGGGAACGATATGCTGGAGCCTCTGCTACCGCTAACGGAGCCGGCCTGCATCCCCTAGAAGTGATGCAGCGTAGGGAAGATGAATTCTGCAGTGCCATGAATGCTCGCGCATCCTTTTTGGGATGGACCGCCCTTCATTACGCAGCTCTAGCGGATTCACCCAACACGGCAAAGGCGCTCCTCGAGGCTGGCGCCGACCCAACCGTGAGAGATCACGCTGGGCGACGCGCCCTTCACTATGCTCGAGATCCATCCACCACACGTAATTTGATCATGGAACACATGAAGCAGTGGGAGGAGAAGGCGGCGGCGGAGGCGGCAGAAGAACGAAGAAGATTTCCTCTCGAGCAACGTCTCAAACAGTACATTGTGGGACAGTCGGCCGCCATCGAAACAGTCGCCGCGGCCGTGCGCAGGAAGGAGAACGGCTGGGCGGACGAGGAACATCCGCTGGTGTTTTTGTTCCTGGGAAGCTCTGGAATCGGAAAGACGGAGCTGGCGAAACAGTTAGCGAGATACATGCATCGTGACGATCCTGCGGCTTTCATCAGATTAGACATGTCGGAGTATCAGGAGAAACACGAGGTGGCCAAGTTGATAGGCGCGCCGCCGGGGTACGTGGGGCATGAGGAGGGCGGACAGCTGACTCGAGCCCTCGCCCGCCGCGCTGATGCCGTCGTTCTATTTGATGAGGTTGATAAAGCACATCCTGACGTCCTCACGGTACTGCTGCAACTGTTTGATGAGGTATATTTATGGATAATTTTAATATTTTTTATTAAAAAAACCAAAAAACAAAGGCCGAATGAGTGGTGCCCTTGATTCGGAATGTCAAAGCTATATCTAAAAAGTTTGCTTGTGATTGATTGTTAATGAGTTTTTATTCGATCTGCTTTTATGCCCCTTATTTACTCAAAACCAAGAGAATGAGGTAACCAAGGAATCGTCCATATTGTTTACATACGTAAATTATATTTGTTTTCAGGGGCGCCTCACTGACGGCAAGGGGAAGCTTATTGAATGCAAGAACGCAATTTTCGTAATGACTTCCAATCTGGCGGCTGATGAGATAGCACAGTACGGACTGCAACTACGGCGGGAGGCTGAGGCACGATCAGCTCAACGTGTCCGCCCGATCACCACTACTGCCAACGAGTCAAAGACAGGTAGTTATATAGAAACTAGAAGACCCGGCGAACTTCGTATCGCCCTATAATCAAGAAATATCTGTTACGTTTTTTTTAATAAATAAGGTTAGGTTATACCTTAGCCTCAGAAACACGTAGTGGTTATGCATCATATATGACGTTTGTATTTTTAACATAGCGCCATCTATTGAATACTTAACTCAGTCAACAGATAATTGTAATAATGACAAATAATTTTCTTTAATAGACAAATAATTTTCAATAAAATAATATTATGACTATAAATTGAGATGTACGCTATCCTATCTTTCAAGTTGGATCACAATGCACACGGAATCCAAATCAAATTTAAATTCGGTTTAGTAGTTTCGGAGTCCATAGCGGACAAACACGTGACACGAAATTTCTATACATATAAAGATTATAAGTCAAAAAATTCACCACACACCTATGTATACTTTGAATAAAAAATTATCGGCAACTTAATCTTTTCTTGTCCTTGAATATTTGCCAATCCAATTTAAAATTATTTATATTATATTATTGACATGTTTATAAACGAGTATAAATAACAATGAGCGTGATATTAAATTGTTATAGAAGTTGAGGTATCGTCGGAACGGGAAGGCGAGCCGGTCGGCGAGGTAGAAGAGGCTTTACAAGTGTCTCGCAAGTTCAAGGACACGGTGGTGAGGCCGATCCTGAAGCGTCACTTCGGCCGCGACGAGTTCCTCGGCCGCATCAACGAGATCGTGTACTTCCTGCCGTTCTCGAGACAGGAACTCCTGACGCTGGTTCATATGGAGCTGAAGGCGTGGGCGGAGAAGGCTCGCGCTAGACACGCGGTGGAACTACGCTGGGAGGGAGGAGTACTGGGCGCGTTGGCTGACGGATACGACGTTCACTACGGCGCGAGGTCCATCAAGCACGAGGTGGAGAGACGAGTGGTCAACCAGCTGGCCTTGGCCGCTGAGCGAGGGGCCGTGGCTAGGGGATGCGGAGTACTGCTGAGCGCTCGGGCAGGTCGTCTCCAACTGGCTGTACGACGACCGCCCGACGAACGCTACGTACCGCTAGACCTCGCCTCCGCCTGAACATCTCATCGTACTATTACATTATAATTTATTGTAGCCTTCAAAGTTTTTTATTTTACAATAACCCTGTTATGTGTTTCTTGAATTCATTCTGTTTTGATCGAGAGTTCGGATCGTAATAAATTTTTATTAGACATGTTAACTAATAGTTTTTTTCTTTGTTGAGTTAATGGGACATTATTAAGTAATGATATTCAGTCACTAACCTAAAGCTTTATATTGATTGTTAAGCATATGAAAATTATCTACTAGTAATTTCATTTTTCTTATATATTATCCAACATATATCAAATGATACCTTTTTCTCTTTGTTGAATTAGGTTGTGAAATAAAACATCATGTGTGTAGTGCTTGTTTTTATTAAATCTCGCACCGTTATATACAAATATAATGTATAAATAAACAACAACTCTTTACAAAATATAAATCGATTGCGGTCGCGTGCACGTGCGCCGCGAACAACTAAACACGTGAAGGCCTCCGGTGATACACTCGCACTCGTGTGACGTCACGCCCTGTGTGCGCTCTCATTGATTATAATAATAATTAAACACAAATTATAATTAACACGTGTCCATACACCAGTATCTAAAACTCCCAACGAATAATTCGTTTCTCAATATTACAGTGGACGTATGTGCAACTAACAGCGTCTTGATTTCAAATAACATTCTTAATTCGATTTTTTGTAAGAAATCTTGCCATACATAGTTTGAATACTACAGATAAAATATAAATTTAATTCGATGATCATACCATGCGCCAGTCATAATGGTACCTAATCTTTAAAGTTTTGAAAAAAAAATCTTACAATTTCAACTAATACAGGTAACAGCAACTAATTTAAATATAATATTATTTTTATTCCTCGGGGAAATGTCTAACATTCGTCTACAGACTATCTGTATCATACAATCACATTAACGAATCATAATATGCGTCGTTTGAATCTAACATCAAATACATAAGTAAGTATAGCTACTACACATAATTGCTCTAACAACAACATACTGCTAACTCAGATTACAACTTCCAGTTAACTTCTATATTTAGTTTAGGTAGGGACTTTACTCTTTAGGTATTGACTAGAATATAAAGTAAAGAGAATAGTGATTAATTGTAATCTCAGCGATCGGATAACTCGTTGAAAACCTTACCATTTGCCAATTTTCACTAATAACCACCCATAATTATCTTTCCAGGATTTTTTTTAGCGTAAGAAATAAATTTGTATGAACTACTAATATCGATCACTTTTATGTACCCATTTGTAAGTTCCTTAAATATTTTATATTTTCAATTATGTAGAATAGCGATTATTATAGTTTTATTGATAAATTGTTACATTCTAAGTCCCTGTTAATCAATTATACTGTGTCCGAAATAGTATTAGCTATCTCTACTACATATAATTGCTTCACATAAATTTAATATACTTATTCTACTTTAAGTACACATTGAAATATTTTTAATTAAGTGAGTTGTTCGAATACATTAAATAATAATTAGTTATTTATCCCCGGTACTAACTTTTATCGTTTATATAAAAGCTAATAGTTTAAAAGATCTGCAATCGTTAATCATTAAACATACCTCACTATAACCGGTAACGCTACCAATTAATTATCAAACGAAAACCATTTAAACTGTCAGTTTTAAATAGAGGAATAGGACTCTTACAGAGTATTTCCTTAGGAATACTGTTTAAATACTTTAAAGAAAAATAATGGCTTTATACTTCGCCCAATCTTGTGCTCTTGTATGTATGTGTATTGCTTGTGTAGTATATATTGTACGTTTATTAATAATGAAAACTTAAAATGTAACCACTTCTAGATTTTAAGACCATTTTTTTTTAGAAAATTCACAATAGCACGTTTTTAGTATGATGAGAATATTTCTACTAGCCACTCTATATACTTAGCATTAAATAAACCCTCACTCTGTAACGGAGCGTTTCCAATTTCTTTATTTATGAATCTTCTTAGATTTACGTAGGGTACTGAATGAGAAACGGGAAACGATTCGTATGCAGTGCAAACTTGTGGTACCTAAACATGCTTCACCCCTAATGAGATTGCAACCGTAATGTATAGCCGAGAATTTCCATGTTCGATACCTACTACTTGATACTTCTCACTAAGAAATAAATTTACGTTCATGTAAAATAAAATTTAAATTGATATTCACATTTTGTGAATAAGTTTTAGTACCACTATTTATTAGCTAATATTAACACTTCTCATTTTTTTCATAATAATGTTACATTGATTACATAATAGGTATCCTGCATTTTTAAATTCATAAATGTATTCTCACATTCATCTTAAGCTTTCGTATTGATTGCATGCTTCTTCAATATGTTTAAATGTTCAAAGAAAACTTAAATGTAAATTTATTGAAAACAGAAAAAAGCATTACAAACTCATGGTAAAAAATAGAGGCCTGTGGACTGGAGTTACTTTCATAAGGTTAATGTATCAAATTGGAAACATTTCTTATACAATGTGCATATTACCTAATACTGCGAGTGATCTTATCTATTTCATTTTCAGATAACATTAGTATCCTTTATGAAATAATTTGACGACAGATTGTTCACTGAAAGTTCTGCGACGACACTAATTAATACATCTGATTTTATAGTTATTCAAAGAAACACATTAAAACTCTCGGTAATGAGATAAGCAGTACACACACGGACTAGTGCTACAGAATTCACCTGTGAAAGTGTTCAAAGCAAATAATAATTTAATTGAATTTAATCTGTAAATACTATTGTTGTTATTAATTAATTGGACAACATGTTTCACATAAAATCCCTGTTTCTTCTTGTTAGTCCCAAATATGAACCATTGTCGTGGACAAAATAAATAATATCTGGAAAACCTTCTGGAACACATTGTATTGTATATTTAATCTATGTATAATTATATATTTCTAATTATTTAGTATACATAAGTCGTATATAAAATATTTTAGGTTTCTAATTTTTAAACATTCTTCGTTTATCTTTGCAACTACTTAACTAATTGGTGTTCGTTAAATATGTTCTCATTTTTACAACTACATTAATTGATTATATAGGATAAAATTTATAATATCTAGTGATCATATGTCAAGGTACCAACACTTATTGCAGAATTGGATAGTTATACTTCATAATATGACCTTTTTTATAAATAAGATTATCTATCACTTCCATCTATATACGAATTATTAAATTACGCATTTATTAATAAATATATGCGTAATATTAATTGGACAGTCATTACGTACGATAATTTTAGTTCAATATTTGCGATGACAGGATGTTTGTTTCGTTATAATTCACCATCCTATCAGGGCCGTATTATTCTACGTTATCTATTTATCATATGCATAGAACCTTTAGTCCGTACAAAATCTCGGCAAATGTAGTAGGTATGTACGACGCCCGAGAGATGGCGCTAGAGCCAACCAGCCGAGTGGTGAGGAGCATGTCCATGAAGTGGTGTCACTCCAGCCAGGCGAGCGAGGGCCGCACACCGACCACATGTGGCACCGTCCCCACCTTCCTCCTCAGCAGCTGGTTCACCACCTGCCGTTGGACTAGTCTCCGATGTTGCATCGTAGCCGCATTGTCCGCATGCCTTGCGTAAATATTTTATATCTTTATTAATTCATATTAGAAGGTTAAAAATAGTTCATCAATGAAAGTATAAAATCAATGTTCGGTCTTATTACGTTTAAATGCAAACTGTAAAAGGATTGTGTTTAAAAATTAAATAATACGTTAAAATTGATGAAATAAAGGCTGATTCTTAAAATAAACTGGGTCACATCACTTACTTTTTGCGCATCATCGTCGAGACTAGCCAGTAACGGTTCACGACTGCCACCTTTAGCTTGTACACTCTCTGTGGTAGTGGACGGTGACACTGTAGGTGGTGGTGGTCGTGGAGCACGTGGTGGTGCGATAGGAGGCGGCCGTGCGGGTACTGAACTGGCTCGTTGAAGAGCCTCTGCCACACCAGCTACTGGGCGCTCCCCTTCCGCAGTTCGTCGTGAGTCCGAAAATTTCTTGCGTTTCCGCTTCAGTGCCGCGAGGGCTGTTAACGGATGTAGCGGGCCACTTCGTATACTGCCCCGTTCTGGACTACGTTGTGAGTCGCTGCCGGAGTCAGAACGTTCGCTGCCACTGTTATAAGATACCCATATTTTGGGTATTTGAAAAACTCTAGGTTTATTTAAGATATATATACCTACATACATGTACATAACGAAATCGAATACGCAATAAGATAATATACATCATTGTGAGAAGCTATTGGCGGAGGAACATCCAATGCTTATAGGTAATTTCAGACTCTGGTACCTATTTCTAGTTTGGTAAGAAAATAAAAGGATCAAGCTTTTCAAGACAATAATTTATGATAAAATTTCGGAAGCATTAGTTTAACATTCAAGAATATAAGTAGTATTAACCAGGTTACTCATTATGATAGAGGGCCTTTACTATTGGTACAATGTATGAGTAGATTAGTTATTAATACCTGGGTGAAGGACGAGCATGATCGCATACGGAGTCCTCAGACCTTGAGCGGCCAATGAGTCGAGAGACACGAGCAGCCCGAGCTGCTTCTATGATAGTGCCCCAACGTCGTTTATGTGATGAGGGCTTACGGCGTTGGGCGCCCGCGCCTCCTGCTCCATCTGATAGGCTTGATTGACTTGTCCTAAGCCTTCCTCCTAGCAGAGCTGACAGCGATGCGTGGTGTGCCCCATGTGAACCACCATGTTCATGGTGAAGCGACGCCAAAAACTCATCCACGGGCGCTAGAGACCCGCCAGGTGCGATGTTAAAACCTTTCATTAACCGCCGTTCTTTCTGGCGGTTCTTTTTACCGCCACCGCCACCTGAAAGACCTGACGGTTAGTTCGATTTTACTTGTTCTTAAATTATTAACGGCATACAACTTTAAAAATGTTTGTTATTAACTACCCGGTGCGCCAGCATTCGCTGTGGAGGTGTTCATCCCGGAGTTCCGTAGTATTTCAACAAGTTCGCAGCGGAAAGCACTCACGTCCTGTTTGATCTCGTTAACATCATCTTCAGTGACACCACCGCACTCTGCACGTCGCTGTTGGACTGTCACGTAACGACGAACTAAGTTACGCATTATTGCCTATAAACAGTATGAGTGATACTTTTATTTAAGTTGTATAAAACGTTAGTATAAATAAATCCTGACAACGATCTGAAAACGTCTAATTTATTCTTTTTTTTTAAATATTATTCACAATATACTTTGTTTTTTTAACTTGCCTGATAACGGAAATCACGCTCATTCGCTTGTTTCGCCTTTCTCTGAAAATAAATATTAATGTGATTCACTCTTTCTTAATAGTAATTCAGTCAGTTATAGTTTTTCCCGAGTATTTATTTATTTATTTACTCCATCGGGATAATTTCTCCTTGAATTTAATAAGCAATGGTGAAATTTTGTGAATCATTAAAAATATTTTTTTTTCATCTAAAAAAAATTCAAAAAAATCATATGCCTACCCGTATTGTTCTCATGTGTTCACGTTTAGCGCGCGCGTGTCCACACATGGTACGCTGTAACCAGCGCCACGTGTACAGCGCTGACTTTGGTGATGGGATAACATTAAATGGTGGCGGCGCTGTCCCTCCTTCCTCAAAGTAACTGATCCATAGTTTACTACGTGCAAATTTCCACTCCACGTCCGCCCGTTCCTGGAAGTGTAACATTTTTTACATGTTCTAATGGGCACACTAGCATATAATCTATTTGATATCACTGAATCGCGCTAAGAAACGTTATAAGAATAAGAAACGTTATTTGCTTATAAACAAATGAAGTACTCACCGAAATCAACTGATACGAGTGATTCATCATAGCGATCAATAAGTTAAGCAGCACGATGACATTAATAACGGCGTAGGTTCCAAACATCAGCATTCCCCAGAAACGCGTGAATATTTTAATACCGTCTAATTCAAACGAATCTAAGTCCACCAATCCAAAGGCTGCCCAGAAAAGCGTTTGCATTGTCTCAAAAAGGCTGAAAAATTTATTTAAAATATTTCCAAATTATATTACAAGTGATGTTGTATTCTTAGGTTTAAAGACTTTATTCTCAACGAGACATTACATAGTCACTTATTTGAGAACATTACTAACTTAAACATATAACATTGTTAACATTCGTCACACCAAGTTTTATTTAATCTATAGTGATTAGTACGAAATTAATAAGAGAATAAAAGAAAAGGAAAACGCGCCCACTGTATGCGTTAGTTGGTAAGATATTGCGCGAGTTGCGTTTTAAATGCGCTAAGTGAATGCGTCTTCCTTATACAAGAAGGTATTTTATTATGAAGCTGTGCTCCTTCAAATGTGATCATTTTTTTCCATAATTAGTTCTGTTTTTTTAAATCCATATTTAAAAACTATTTAAGTAAGGAATTAAATGAATACATAATCTTGGTAAAAAATATAGAATCAGTAATTTTTATTTATTTAAATGTACTATAATTAAAACTGTACTTTTAATTTAAAATATTGTTTTACTCACTTAGCAAAACGTCTCCATACAACACAGGCATCCGGATCTGGTAGTGTACCGTTGGTAGCAACAGGAGAACCAGTAGGACAACGTTTCTTTTCCATGTCAGCATAATACCACAGCAACTGATTGAGACCTGTAATCAATCAAAATATTATAGATTAATTTAAAAAAATACTAAATGATTAAAAAAATGCTGTGGTTTTATGAAACTAGATACAACAGAAACTTATTTCGGATTTCAAGCGTTAAACTGAACATTTGTCGACAATTATTCCAAGTAGGATATTAAATTCTCGTTTCATTCTTGATAAAAAGAAAATGAGAATATGGTAGTAGACAAGATTTCGGACTAAAAAAATAATTAGTAAGCAAAATATGTATTACAATTAAATATGGATTATAAAAACAATTATAAATGTAAATAGTTACAACATAGAAAATTGGGACGATGTAAAGTTAATGAAATTATCATTAATATATATAATTTTTAAATTATTTGATGAAATTATTCCTTACCACATGAGAAAGCAAAAATGACGAGGATATCCAGAACGAAAAACTTTAGTATATCGAGCACCATGCGGCTGAGAGACACTTGAAGTGGACCCAGATGGGGATTAACACTGAAGATATACACTAGCTTCAAGCTGCTAAAAATATTGGCAGCCGAGAAAAGGCCTTCAGAGAGCAACATAGGATCCCAGGCGTCCCATTTCTCTCTGGGTTGATTCCATTGCAATCCTAAGCCCATTTCTCTACGAACCTGAAATTTAAAGATACTAAATACTTACAAACAAGAATCTAAATTGACGAAATGATAAATTGAAACATTCTTATACAACAAAATGATTAATGTTGATTCCCAAAAAGAGGGTTGATGTCAGGCAGGCGGCCGGACGTAAAAACAAATAGCCAAAAACTATTCACAACATGTAAGGCTGACCCTGGCTATAGCTGGGAAATTGCCAGGTAGAAGATTCTTATATAACAAAAGTTTTAAAATTCTATTAATTTGTAACCATTACAAACACGCTACATACCTGAAAATGTGATACAATGCGAAGCGCGACCGTGGCGACGTAAAGCGAATTGGTGACGAAGTCAATAACGTTCCACATGTCGTGTACATATTCACGTAGTCCCATGTCCCAAAGTTGTTTCACTTCGCTCCATATGAGACCTGAAAAACAACGAATATATTTTGTGAAGTCCTCATTATTACATCATGTATGTACGTTAAAAGGACTCAAACGAGCATTGTGATTCTGTTGCATATACAGGAAAAATCACTACACACGATTTTTGTATCCAGCCAGCCAATCCAGCTCTCTGAATAAGCTGCTTATGCTGTAGACTAATAGTATATGAAATTAAAAAAAATATGTTTAATTGAAATCATACTCGCTACTTTCGCTTTCATTATAATTTTCGTGTCCCCAAGAACACTTTATATCTTTATTTGTTAAAGATCTTTGTTGCTTTATTATGTACGAAATGTCTTCTAATAGTCGTATGTCATCTGTTTCATACTTTTGCTCCAAATATCTATAATCTGTATATAAAACAATACAAAAATACTGACCGCTAACCCACGCCAGTATTAGCCATTCGACGAGAGAAGGTGGCGCTCCACGTCGAGACAGAGGCGCTGCGTGTTGCGCTGGTTCACCCCAAAGGATTCCGGCTGCAGCTGTCTCAATACGTTGTGAGGCGAGTATTAGCAGGACTGTGAATAAGACATCTTTTCAATTCCTCGATCCTATACCACAAAAACGTTGAAAATAATGCAGTTTATGTCTTAGATAAAATATCAATAGAAAACTTTATAGAAAATTTAACAAAACTGAACAATTGCTATTAAATTCCGATATTATAAAAATAGTATATTATAAATCTATCAGCAAACAATACGTGGTACTTGAATAATAACAGTGGGTAAGTGTTGCGGATTTTATTACTTCTCTATGATTGGTAACATATTGAAAAATGTGTTTGTTAAAATGTAGGAATTTAATGTAAAATTTATTATAATCAATGTGACCTTACTTTTAGTACGTAAGATGTTTTTTATTATATGCTTTTGTTTTCTTACATAAAAACATAAAGTAGCTTGCCGAATGACACAGGAACTTGATAAAAGGTTTTCTTAATGTGCGTCCGGCGGTTGAGTGAGGAGCGGCGATGTAGGCCAGCGAGTACAGTGGAAACATAACGCCTATTCGAACCATTTCAGCTGCTTGTAACAGCATGTTTTTGCGACGAAAACCTGGCACGCTCTCGTACCAAATGGAAGCCAGTAGTTGTTGTACATTAGGATGAGCCACGAACTGTGATTACATAAATATATATTTATTTAGTACTTATTTCTAATTGCTAACGCAACTAATTTTCTGCTAAAATATTTAATAATCACCTTCTTTTGACGTAATTTTATGGCTAGTTTAAGACGAGATAATCGCATTCTTTCCGGAGCGCCAGGTTCAGCTAGAGGAGCCTGTGGTGACCCCGTTTCATGATTAAGAAGCACTTCCAATTCATGAGACGTACGAGTGTGGTCTAATAGCGCCGTAGCAAACTCTTGACATTGGACCCGCAACTCCTGATATTCCGTTTTAAATTCATGTTCTAGGGCAGAAAGCCGTCGGAGCTCCCAGGACAGTTCAAAAGCCGTAAGTATTGGATCTTTAGACGACAGGGCAATCAATGATGGAGATGCCAGCGCCCGATATGCGTTGATACGTGAACGAGAATGCCGTAGAGAGTCCTCGCGACGTGAACGAACACATTCATCGCAACCACAGCGTACATCATGAGGTACCGGTAGAGCAGCGCCGCGGTCTAATAACAGTTTTATAATCTCATAGCTATCACGGTGTGCTGCCAGTATTAGTGGTGTGATATCTGACGTGAAGGTGGCCGTCTCCGGAGGTAGAGCTTCCCAACTCTACAAATATATGAAAAACAATATTTCAATATTAATTATCATTCATTTCTATTAATTAACGCTCATAAATATAAACAATGAAGGAGAAATAATTAAAACCTTAGTTAAGTCTTTACTATGACTTATATTTACTCGTATTATTATAACTAATTCCTATTGTTAACTTTAATTAATTATAAATGCTAATTTGTTCGAAAGCTTAAAAGTATATTAATAATTTCAAGATATTTTCATTAGTAATAAACAAAGCATTTGTAAATTATTCTATGTCATTAATGTGCTTTGTTATGGTTATCAGAGCCGAAATAGAAACGAAAATATGAATGCCTCATTATATTCTGTCCAAATAGCTATGAAATCATAATCAAAATAATGATAGCAAGTTTTGAAATAGTAATAATTGTAAAATGAAATGTACAATCACGAAGCGTCTCATTACTTTCATTGTGAAAATGTTCATATTCGTTTACAAAGGCAACGTCGGAAAAATAAATTTTGATAAGCGTAAAATAGAATAGGAGTTTCATGTATTCAGTTTTTTTATCTAAACGTGAAAAACTATGTTATGTTTAAAAACGGAGTAGTGGATAATACAAAAATGAATTTTTTTATTAAAGTAAAATTATCCAAACAGCTGCAGTACAGCAATTTACTTCAGCAGCAGCTATTAAATAGTTATTATAAAACTAAAATAAATTTGTTCTAAGAAATCATAATATTATATATATTATACAATTATACGTAGTTTATAGTACATATTTATAGTAGCAAGAAATGTGATCTAAAATCAAAATATACTCTATGCTATTTTGAAATTGGTAATACCAAGTTATGACTTATTTCCTTTCCTACATTTTTATTACCACGGAAGTTGAAATTTACCATCGTTCTTTAATTAATTAACACTCCCTTTTGATACTTCAAACATTTCTCCGTTTCTCTCCGCTCTGTTTACAAGTATGAGGTTTGGTGTTGATAATAGTTCGAAAAATTATTAGTACATGTACTACTAGTTGCATCGTCGAAACAAACGAACATTTTGAATTTCGTCATTTATAAATCTATAACGATAACAAATCTATGTCGATACTAACGACAATCAACGATCAACGCTTCATTCCACGATACGACCTGTACGAAGTACACAAAGATTCTTTAAATAGATTCCATTAGGTATAGGATACGAAATTTTAATAAAAATGAAGTCCCATTAGTTTAATTAAAGCAAAACGATCCGTAGAACGATAATACAGTAATAATTATTATGATAAAATTATTATTTTCAAATTGTACACTCTTAGTAGATGGGGCAGCAAAAGTTAATTACAGTTCGAGGAATTAAAAATACTTGATGCCTTAAACTTTGAGGATTTGTGATGCCATGATAACATAAAATGAGTTTTTAGTTCATAACTTTATAGAAGTTAAGTTTAAGATTTTGCTATTGACACTCTGTTGGATTTATTATTTTATTTCATTAAATAGCAATATAACATTACCGCCACTTTCGTATAAATACAATATCTTAAACTCTTATCCCTTTTCTTAAGAAAACGTGAAGATCCAATGGGTTTCATTTTATAAAGGGAAAGGCTTTAACAGATACAGGGTGATATAGAACCCACTCGTGATGTAAGAACCTTTATGGAAATGAGTCATCCAATCCTGTTTTAAAAAGATGAAACTGAAACTAATCGGAATGATTGCGATCATTTTAATTTAAGCCTAACAAAACGACGCAATACTAGTAGGTAATTAACACAATAACTATTTTTTAATAATTAATCCCATTATATCGGCTAAATATTACGTTAATAAATTGAGATAAGGATTGCAATATTGAATATCATACATACATGTAATTCTCCCGGCTTTCGTGTTCGTTCTTCGTGGTCTAGGAGAGCTTCGACCGCTTCAACGAATTCCTCCGATATAGCGTGTAGCAACGCATCTCTTGTTTCAACTCCAAACTCCAGAAGCAGCTCAACCATCTCTAGATTCTCGTTGTCAATAGCCATGAGGAGTGCACTGCGGCCCAAAGGGTCCACACAGTCTACATTAATATGCCCTGTGTCCCGAGCTCGTTGTAAAACACGCCTTGTTCCTGCCACGTCTCCACGCTCGACCCCCAACAGATATTTCTTCTCTTCGAGCGAGAGCACGGCCATTTCTTGATGAGGCCGCACTACATTTTCTTCCTCTGTCATCCCATGTATACTGTGTCGCTATAAGCAAAAATTTTCTATATGCCTTATAGAAAATATTCAGTTTTAAATTAAAAATGGTATGAGATGACCACAAATTAGTTTAATTACTTAAATTATTCTTTCAACATTTATTAAGGTACCTTACTGGCCCACTTATGATAGGACATTCTTATTTCTTTGTTGGTTTACAAAAAAATATTTTAAATCATTTCAATTATATAAATATAATATGATATTGCTGTATGTATTTACTGTATAATTTAAAAATCTATATTTCCAGTGGATTAGATGGAAGAATATCACTTTACATTTTGCAACTGGATATATTGACAACTGGGATTTAGGAAGTAAATTATTTTTTATAATTTGTGTAAAAATTCAATGAGCGTAATCATAAGATATCTGTAATATAATATTTTTCTATGATAATAATGAACATTCTTATAAAATCATGTGCTATGAATTTTTGTTAGCTATTACGTACATCTATAAAAATCTCCAGTCGCGATGTTAGACAGAAAACTCCTCCGGTACTGCTGAACCGATTTTGATGAAATTTTGATAGTATATTGAGTAGGTCTGAGAATCGGCCAACATCTATATTTCATACCCCTAAGTCATAAGGTTTATTCAACAATATTTTTTTTATTTTTATTGTCGGACGAAATTTGCTGTTTTTATTTTTTATAATGTAGCATTAAAAATACATATTACCCAAATTTTTACTATTTTATCACCAAACCCTATTTTTTACATGTCAAAAAAACGTTTGCCGGGTCAGCTAGTTATATTATAAAAAATGATATGAATTTATAAATCCGATGTTGTTAACTAATTAGTGAATTTTTATTTAATTTACACCGACTTCATTTTTTTTTAGACTGCGTTTTTCTTCATTTCATAATATGAATTATATAAACGAATTAAAATGAATACAAACAAACGCCGATATTAATTTGTCACACTACACAATAAGACATATGATGTTAATTTAACTAAATTGTTTTATTTTCAAATGTCTACTTACGGTAGTGTAAATCTCACACACATAACGTTCAGATATTTTTCTTATTTATGTTACCAGAATAACTACAATCCAGCAGCTAACGATACACACAGTTCAATAATTTACAGTTTCAACATTAACGCTTATAAACGTGAGATGTAATTTGCTAAAAACTATTAATCTATTTAATAACTCGCTTATACTACTAACGACAAGCATAAATTTACGTCGGAAGACTATTTTCTTGCAGACGTTAACGCGAATTCCATCATCAATAGTTTTTATAAGATGACCGACGATAAAAATGAAGTAGGTCAACTGTTAATGGTGAAATGTCATAGGGCCGCTGTCGAAGTGTCGAAGGGTTCGAGGGCCGATACACTCATTATGCAAATGGGTCGGGCGAGGAAGAGGGCGGCGCTCTGACAGCCGACTCCACTCCTCGCTCTTACGTGTTGTCAGTAGCCACTGGAGGACCATTCAAGCCATCCAATGTATTACAAATTACACGTATTTCGATATAAAGTTATATTAAAATAGATTATTATGGCGTTAAAATTAACCCTTTATCATAAAGGTAATTATAATATATAAATGACGGCTCACCTTAACTTTGTGGTCAGGCGGCCGTGGCTCGGGTGCCAGCAGCGCGCCCATCTCCACGCGGCAGGTGGAAGGGCGCCGGTCACGATCACGGTCGCCGCTGCCGCCCGACATCTCGGAGCCTCCGCTCTCTGCAAACAGAACACCTAAGACCGGCGGCCGCGCCCGCAGCGCAGCCGCCGCCTCTAACAGGCGCTTCGCAGACGACCTGGCTTATTCACCGCCTCACAATGCGGATGGATATATTTAGAGCGGATGCGTGCACTAGAGCCGCGACCAGATCAAGCACTTACCGGCACCGTCGCCCCGAGCGCCATCTCGTTCTCGTTCGGTGAACTGCAACATACGAAAGTTTACTAACGCATCTAGCAGGTTCAACGGTTATCTTTATCGGAAGTATAGCGCTCCTACCTGAACACGACGCACGCGCCGCGCGGCTATCTGCCGCGAGTGGCGACGTAGCGCCTCCAGTCTGATGGTGCCGGGAACGACCTGCAAGTTTGAAACTTGCAATACGACATATGAACAATTTATTATTATTGGTTTATTATAACTTTTACAAGAAAAATAACTACATATATACAGCACACATTTAAAATTCAAACTAAATAAATAATGTTAAGTAACATTTCGAGATCACAATTTTGTTGTAGCACTTAACGCTTCCATTATATTTATATTAAATATTGCTATTACTGCTAAAAATTTATTTAGATTTGTCCAATATACTTTAAAGGCAAACCTTGTACTGTACTTACAAATAATCTTCGTAAACTAAAAATAAATATTATTACTAAACGCTTTTCCGTTTTAAGAATGCTATTAAATCTAAATCGATCGCTGTTTGTAAAATGAAAAAAAAATCAACATAAAGCTTATTCGCAAATACTTCAAAATAATCTGGCACGAGTCATAAAGTCTGCTTTGTTTGATTACGATCGACATGGATAAAAAGGAACGATGTCTGTCTTTTTTGTTTACTTGTTCGTGCCTGCTGAAAATTCTTTCAATGTATAGCTTTACATAAAAATACTAACCAGTCGCTTTATATAAAAATGTTACTTACGTATGTGAAATTTAATTAACACCACTCGACAAAAACAATTTCAATTATTGCCTCATCATGATATTGTTTGCTTTCACTTTTGATTAAACTCTGATCTCAATTAATTAATTTCTTTACGATTGTTATCGGATCATTATCCATGCGATGCTTCAATATATTAAGATCTAACGAACTTAATAACTTAGAAAAATTTCACTTGTATCAACATAATGAATAAATACTAAGGAAAACACGAGTCATCCAATTGAACGGATCGCAAAGATCAGAAGGCAGGGTTCTTGTGGTGGAGTGATGTATCTCGGCGAGGGAAGGGTCGAGGTCCGGTCACCTCCGGCACGGCCGCGGTCGTAAATTCTATTTTAAAGGAAGATGAAGATGTAAAGACGGAGCGCACGTGGCCTGAGGCGGGGTGGATGACGGGAGCCGACTCACCGGGAGCCGCGCGCTCCGCGCACTGCCGCTGCCGCCGCCCGCCCTGCCCCACATGCCTCTTCCCGCCCCCGCCCTGCACCACCTGCCCCACATGCCTCTTCCCGCGCCCGCCCTGCACCACCTGCCCCAGCCCGCCTTAGGGCCGCCAGCCGTTCTCCTGTCGTTGTCGATTTTCTTATCATCGCTGACTGAATTTTCCAGATTTAGACCATAACGTTAAACTCGTGCATTAAGACATATACAACATCTCGATCCTCATTTTATGATACATATTAATAAAATCCATTTATAATATAAGCAAGTTATCTATCAAACTTAATATTTTAATAGTATACTATAAGTTTGCCAGGAAATTGATTTTTGTTTGATGGAATCTTTGATACTACAGGAAGCGTCGTGGAGTTCAAAACTAAACGATAAAATAATTTCGTAGTTAATAGATATGTGGGCGTGTAGAAACGATTGGCGCCGGGTTGTAGAGGAAAATTAATGAAATAGCTTTTTTAAATTTCATTAACAACTGTTACAATTTAGTCGATTTTTAATTATTATAAGTATTATTAACTATTCTTTATATTTCCTATGTAAATATCTAAATATTTATATACATAATAATAAAATTACATAACAATAAAATTTTGCAAAATAGTGTATATATTATCATTAATTAATTATTATTAATGTATGTTTAGCGAACCAAACATGTGTGTATATTTCTTTGTTTTCAAAAATAATAATAATATTTTTTTAATAGAGCCCATGGGAATGAATTTTCAAGTTTCCGATTCTCCATTTTAAGGTTAGGTCAGATATATATATCTTCTGCTACATGGGTCATGATAGATACCACAGTTGGCGCAAAAGACGAGCTCAGTCGATATTGTCATTTGAAAAATCATTTTAATTAAATTAAATATTTAATGTAAACTATCTTATTTATTTGTAAACAGTAATAGTATTTATCGAAGTATTCTTACTTGAATAAAATTTCCCTTAGAATCGTTTCAGTAATAGCAAGCAAAAAATATAATAACAACCATTAATCTTAGTTACTCATCTTTAAATACAAACATTAAAATTAAATAAACATTTGTTTGAAACAAAAATATACCGAATCGAAATAAATGCTCTGAGGATAATCAAAATTCATTTGTACTTCCAAGATTTTTACAATACGTCATATTTATGTAACTTAAAATATGTTTGTATGACTTGAAATATATATTCATAGAACCATATAACTGTAAGGCCTCGGCCTCTAATTTTGCGGGCAGCGGAGCGGCGGCGGCGGCACGGGCAACGCATACCTGTTCTCCAAACTAGCGGGCAGCGGGCACCGCTGTATTCGAGGGTCGGTCCATTTGATTAAACGCGTAAGATCCTGCCGCTCCCGCTGCCGCTCCGCTGCCCGCAAAATTCGAGGCAGAGGCCTAAGCCGAAGCGATATATGTGACTTTATATGAATGGAATTCAATTTGTCGCATAGACATTAAATTCTAACACAATTTCATTATACAATGTTATAGTTCTTGTAAATTAATAATAAAATTTATTTCAAATTTAATTAAATTAATAAAATTAACAACTTTATTTATTAATTTAATAATTTTGTTAACAAAAAAAAGAAGAATTATACCTTTTTTTAAAAATAACTTCAAACGACAGTTATCCGTGTCAAATATGTTTGAAATGATTTCCAATCACTTGATGTCAGTTCGGGAATCAAGTCGAATCGTAATAAAAAATAATACCCCGATCTAGAATTGTCCTCAAATTTTCGATAGAAGTTGTAAAACTGATGATGAAATGTGGGAACAAACATAAATAGATACATTATTACTTTGACTGTCTAATTGATTTAACGGTCCGTATAAAAGTTGTTTACCTGAAATGTATGGTAAATTATATTATTCCACCGTAGCTTCGTGCTAAACACTAGAAAGCCTATAATTGAGAGGTAAAAGTTTTGTTTGTGAGTCAAAATTTAGTTATTCAATGTATGAAAACAAAAAAAAGTTTTCTTTCTAAAATGAGTTGTTATTATGTAGTAATGACCATCAAATTTGCTAAAACATGTGATAAAAATTAATTATTAAAGCATTACAAAGACAGAAGTGAGATTTAAATCAGATCATTGCCTACCCACTAAACCTAATTATAAATTAAGAGTAACCTTAGTAATCTCTACCTCAGAAAGTCAGTCGTGGCCAAGTGGTTAAAAGGCCCGCCTCTCAATAACGATGGCACGGGTTCGATCACGGGTTCGATCCTGTCCTGGCAGGTACCAATGTGATTTTTCCGAGTCATATGTACATATTTTCTAAGAGTATTTAGACATCATTGATTAATGCATTCCCAAAAAAGGGTTGATATCAGGCAGGCGGCCGGTAGTAAAAACAAATAGCCAAAAACTATTCACAACATGTAAGGCAGACCTTAAACCTTAATAACCTCATATTCCACTACTGAATTTTTTTTCGAATGGCTAACGCATGTCGCAAATAGTCGTGGTGGCCTAGTGGTTAAAGGTCTGCCTCTCATGTATGAAGGCGAGGGTTCGAAACCCGGCAAGTATCAATGTGATTTTTTAGATTTTTATGTACTTTCTGAGAGTATTTAAACACCACTGACAAACGGTGAAGGAAAACATCGTGAGGAAACCTGAACTTTTAATTTCCAATTATAAATTTGAAATCGCCAACCCGTCTTCAACAAGCGTGGTGATCCTGATGCTCAAATCTATCCATGAGAGAAGAGGGTCTTTGCTCAACAGTGGGCTCTGATAGGCTGATGATGATGTCGCAACACGCTTCTGACTTGTCTTCTCCTGGTTATATAGCAGTTATATATCCGTCCTTGCACGTAATTGAAATACATCTAACAAGCTATTACTACTAAATTTTATCAAATATGTATTAAGTTAACATAAAAACTCGTTTTTAATACCATAAACTAAGCAATTGTTAGTTGAACGCGAACGTTAAGAAAAAAACAATTGCATTTTCATAAATTGATACATTTCAATAATCGTGTATTTTGAAGAATAAAGTTAAAATTAATCTAAATGACTATAAAAGTATTATCAATTACTTTTAGATACACTCACTTACTAGCATTAACTGTATAATTGTATTTAATTTTTTATTCAACAATTTATTTGAAAATCGTTTATTTTAACTAAACACTCCTTAAAAATGTAAACCAACTTTGATGACTCCTTTTATAGCACGTTATATAACTGCTATATACTTTTATCATTTATGAAGTTAAGAAAAGACTTCGACTTGTCATGATTTATAATTTAGTCGATACTAATATCCATGTACTAAATGTTGTTATTGAAAAGGACTGTTTACTCTTATAAAACAAACTTTCTTTGTTAATCGACTTTATTATTATGTTGTACTAAAAATTTTATTCCATGGAATATTTTCTTAATATTCAAACCGCCACTGTCTCTGATGATTCTATTTTGTAACGTAGTGTCGTTAAAAGAATTCCTTTTTTACTTATATTCAGCTTAAATCTTTAAAACTTAATGTGAATAACTGCACTCTTAATGTAAATCTCAACTTTAATATTATATTTGAAATTTAAACCAACAAAGTTAGAAAGACGTTCCCTGTCCTTTTGTTGTAGATTAACTTCCTTAAATTTAATTTCTTTTTGAAATACGAGTTCTTACGTTTTATTACTCTGTTTTAAAATAAAATTTCTTAAGACGTCCTTAGCCTACAAAACTTTAATTATACTTTTTCATGTTAAGGAATTTTAAAATGACTAACGTTGTAAACAATCGTGATTTTTCAGGAGAAAGCTAACTAATTCCAACAGCGGATATATTTTCTATAACTAGGATATTTTTTAAATTATTATTATTTAAATTTTAATCAGATTAATTCTGACGTCATTTGCTTTAGAAAAAATATATTTTATTTTATAAACAATAGGTGATGATTGAAGTCAGTAATATTCTAACAACAATAAAAAGCACCACATCATACAGATAATATCTTTAATTCGTTTCTTTCACTTTAAAATATTGTTTTGTACGGAACAAAGTAGGTAAATGGCTACATGGGTTCACCTTTTTTATTAAGTGAAGGAGTACTTCCAAAGTCGGGCGTAATGCATAAAGACATCGAAACTTCGATAGTGGGTGCATAAAGTTATTATTAAATCTTATTAAAAAAATCAGGTATGGAAATGTATTTTATAATCTAAATATTTCCAAATGTCTTAGCCCAGCTTTGATGCCTACAATGAAACAGGATCATATAAAATAAACGAAGTTATTACCATTCATATATAAAAAATAGTAGGTACAAATAATTGACTAGTAAAACAGTAGGTAGTCTGTGACTTCAAATATATCAACGATGCCAGTCTAAGACAACAGAAATCTTTACGTCTCGCTTACCTGGGATTGACCCATGCTTCTTGAGCCTATATATGTATATATAGGCATTAGTCAGTGCGGGCCTAGTGGTTAAAAGGCCCGCCTCTCATGCACGAGGGCGCGGGTTCAATCCTGGCAAGTATCAATGTGATTTTTCCGAGTCACATGTACTTTCTAGGAGTATTTAGACATCACTGATTAATTGAATTCTCAAAAAGGGTTGATGTCAGGCAGGCGGCCGGTCGTAAAAACAATTAGCCAAAACCTTTTTACAACATATTAGGCAGACCCTGGCTAAAGTTCCGAAATTACCAGGTAAAAGAAGAAGAAGATATATAGAGACATGCACAAACCAACACCACCTATATCGATATTAGTCTCGTCGTTGTTATCAAAAATTACTTGTATTTTTGTTACATTATGAGTTTCAAACTCGTTCTTATAGGAGGGAGGAAAATATTATTACAATATATGGTTAAGAATATTCAGAATTTTGTATGAACCCGATAAAATTTTATATTTCAGGGATATGAGATTCATTTTGTTGATAATTTGAATTATGAATGTACCTACAATACCTCTAGAACCTTCTTGAAACTCAGAATATAAAAAATGGGACATTTTCAAAAGTTCTTTAAGATTCTGTGACTTAAGTACTTGGAATTAAAATGAGTATCTAAGATTATTATTTGATATATTTATATCATAAAAAAGAGAAGTAGCTAACATTACATACATGATTGTACCAACTGTTCACTTTATTAAATGGGTTATAAACATTCTATTCATAAAATAACATATG